GCAGGTCACATCTTGTTTTCAAAAAGCTTAAAAAGGAATAAGTGTTCATCACAGGATTAGGAAAATTAAGTAATTTGAAACATTTTAATCCTGTGTGTGCATCAGATGCAGAAATGTGTAAAAACAGGAGTAGCAGGTGGCTGCAGGCTCGGGGAGGGGGGAACGGGGAGTTAGTGTTAGTGTTGAATGGGAATGGGGTTTCGGTTTGGGGAGGTGACGTTCCGCAGGTGGATGGTGGTGCTGGCACTAATGTCACTGAACCGCATACTTAGAAACAGCTGAGACAGCAAATCGCATGCTGTGTATATTTTACCACTATTAAAAGTCTGAGGACCAGCAAATGGCTTAACGGTTATGTCACTGGACTCTCACGTTGTTGACCACAGATTGAATCCTGGACCTGGTGGCTTAAACTCACACCAGGCATGTGTGCGTGTGTGCCCAACATCCCAAGAGGAGAGTGGAGGAGCAGGGACTGTGGCATGGCCATGCCCCCGGGGGGTGATTTCTCACTTTCCCTCCTTCTGGCAAGCACATATGCCCTATCGCGAGTGAAGCACTGAAAATCATTTCCCTCCATTTCAAGGAGTAGGATGGGAGGCCAAGGCGCTTGGTGCACTTCCCTCTCGATGCGTTGGTGGCAAATGTTGAAGCTGCACCCTAAGGGGCCAGAGAGGCCCCTGCAGGAAGGCGATTCGTTCTCTGGTGCCACCATGAAGAGGCGTCCTTTGGACCATTAATTCTCAGAAGTTCATTCATAAGTCAGGACACTGCCTTCCCCCACCGTCATGCTCACGAACGATGAGAACAGCAGCCAACTGAAGAAATGGGGTGTGGTGGGCGGGGCCAGGCATGGACCTGCCATCAGCTTCTCTTACCAGGAGGCCCAGAGGGGAGCTGTGCAGATAGCGGATGGCGGATGGTGTGGGGCTGGGGTGGAAGGAAGGGCAGGGCCCTCCTGTGGTGCACATCAGAGGCAGCCCCACCCATCAGAGGTGATTCTGCAGTGGAGGGGACAGTTAGGGGACAGGTACGGTGCAGGTACTGCGTGGGGGGCCTTATAGACAACATCATCATGACAAATGTCCTACTTTTTGTTTTGTTTCAATTTGCTGTAGGACACGCGCACTCACCAGAGAGGGAGAGTAAGAACTCACAGCCCGGGGGGATGGCCATGCTGCAGCCCCTCCTCTGTCCTCTCAGGATTATGGGCATGCACGCACACCTGGTATGTTTTTCAAGCCGCCAGGCTGTGGGATCCAGTCGCCATAACTACCTAGCCACCAGCTGGCCCTGTCCTTGCTATCTTACAACGGGTCACACTTAACTCGGAATGTTGGCGGACTTGCCTGAGGTCACAAGGACTGTGAGTCAGGGAACCAGAACTGGAATAAGGGAAGCCTGGCCCCATAGCTGTGCTCTGCGCAGTGAGGACTTGCTCTGAGCCCTGGGAAGTGTGCCCTGGGAGACGTGCTGACCCCGGGTGCCTCCTGAGACTGGGTGGGGGGACAGACGGGACAGTGTTGGGCAGCAGGAGCCTACAGACCCACGGTGGCCATAGAAGCTTTGTCTTGGTTTAAAAAACCCCATGGTGGGACTGGCAGGTGTCATGGTGGTTAAGGCGCTGGACTCTCACACGGCTCACCTCGGTCGCATCCTGGACCAGCGGCTTGAAACTCACATTGGGGCACGCTGGGTGTGTGCCCAAGATCCCAAGAGGAGAATGGAGGAGAAGGGATCGTGGCAGGGCCATCGCCCTGGGGAGGGATTTCTGGCTTTCTGTCTCCAGCGAGCACATGTGCCCTATAGCAAAAATCTCTCTTAAAAAAAAGGCAAAAAGGGAAAAAAACTAAGGCAGAAGATGGGAGTGTGTGGTAAACACAGTCACACCGTCCTAATCTTGATCAGGCGAATACGAGCTTCTTGAGAGAGAGGCACTTGCTGGTCAGGTTCACTTTTTCTTTTTGTTTTAACTTGCCATGACTTTATATTTACATTTTCCTCCGTAACTCCGTTTCCATGTATTCATCACTTGTAACTGCACTGTAATTTTCCATCATGTTGACATCCCATAACTTGCCTCGTTATTTCCTGACTGCTGAGCAATTGGGCGCTTTTCGGGTTTTTGCTATAAATAGCACTGTGTTCTCTTGGGAGGTGTTAATTTTCTCCTCTTTCTATTCTTGGATTGATTCCTCAACGTGGAATCAGCTATTTGAGCCACCGGAAGGGTGGCCTTTTGTTACATAGCATCAACCATTCCAGAAAGACAACGGAGAGTAGGCAGCAGCAGCAGGGCACCCACCCGCGTCTCCTCCCTTGGACTTAAGATATTTGTCATTTTATTTTATTTTTTATTATTGCCAGAGGGCCCATGCACTCGTGAATGAGAGAGGGAGAAAGCACCCCACAATGGGGCGTGGTCGTGCCACAGCCCCTTTTCCTCCATTTCTCTATGCAGTTGAGATTTGGGGCATGCACATACAAGTACCAAGTGTGTTTTTCATACTGAGAGGGTTGGGATTCAAACTGCAGTCAGCCACATGGTACCTGACTCCCGTAATCACTAGCTACTGCGCTGGTCTGGGACTTACAATATTTGAACATTCTTTCTCGGGCTAAAAAAATCTTAAATGCTTTTTTTTTTTGAGAGAGAGATTTTTGCTATAGGGTGCATGCGCTTGCCAAAAAGACAGAGACAAAAAGTGAGAAATCACCCCCCAGGGGAGATAACCACGCTGCAATCCCTCCTCCTCCATTCTCCTCTCAGGATCTTGGGCATGCACGCATGCACACACGCCTGGCATGAGTTTAAGCCACCGGGTCCGTGACTTGAACCACGGTCAAATACATGGGAGTCCAGTGACATAGCCATTACACCAACCGCTGGTCCTACTAAACGCATTTTTAAAAACACTTTATTTGCTTTAATTCATTGTTAAAAATAACATGACATCAGGGCTAGCAGGTGGCATGGTGGGTTAGGGCGCTGGACTCCCACATGGCCAACCACAGTTTGAGCCCCATACCTGGTGACTTGCTTTCTTACTTTCCCTCTCTCTCTCCCTCTCTGGTCAAATTAAAATAAGTAAGTAAATAAAGTTAAATAAAATAATTCTAAATAAATAACATGACATCAAGAACAAATATTTAAAAGAAAACATGACCTCTAATAGCGCTCTGAAATACTTTTTCTGGTTTTTGTTCCTTGTGCATTTCAACATACATGCATTCTTTTTTTGGAGAGGTTTTCGCTATAGGGCGCGTGCGTTCGCCAGACAGAGAGAGACAGAGACAGAAAGCCAGAAATCACCCCCCAGGGGGGATGGCCATGCTGCAATCTCTTCTCCTCCATTCTCCTCTCAGGATCTTGGGCACGCATGCACGCACACGTGCCCAGCATGAGTTTTAAGCCACCAGGTCCGGGACGCGAACCGCGGTCGACTACGTGGGAGTCCAGCGACATAGCCATTACTCTAACTGCTGGTTCCCAACATACATGCGTTCTTAAGTTAATTTGTATCTTCCATGAGAGAAACAGAGAAAGTGAAAATCACACACACACACACACACACACACACACACACAGGAGGGATGGCCACGCTGCAGTCCCTTCTCCTCCATTCTCTTAGGATTTTGGGCAGGCACGCACATGTGCCCAGCGTGGTTTTCAAGTCACTATGTCCAGGACTTGAACTATGGTTGGCCACACAGGAGTCCAGCGACATAATCACTACGCCACCTTTTGGCCCCTTGATTCGGTGTTTTCACTTACTGCGCTATAACCCTGCCCCCTATTGCAAGGTAGGTTATGCTCTTGGCGACTTGGCTGACCTGCTCCCAGGCCACTTCTGCAGCTAAGCAAGCCCAGCACATGCCTCCCGCCCAACTGGGCTAATTGCTGCTTGCGGACATGCTCTGTCACCCCCTAGCTTGCTCATGTTCTCTCCCCTTCCTCTGAGCCTCATTTCTCCGCCCACTCGGGGCCCCTGTGAACTGCTCAGCATGGCTGATGTCCACATCCCTCTGAGGACTGCAATGGGGTGACCTTCCCTGCTGGTGACCAGGGTTCACAGTTACTGGTGTTTGGCAAGCATGGGGTGAGTGGGTTTTTCTAGATCGGCAAGCTGGGATCCTTCAGAAGCCTCAAAGGAAAAGGAGGCCCAGGGAGTCAGCGAGTGTCCAGGAGACTGACCTGCCTGCTTTTCTCCCCAGGACTTCCTGAGCAGACACCCGGTCACCACATATTCCTGGGTGGGGGCCCAGCGAGGTCCCCAGGGCTGGCATTGGATCGACGGGACCCCCCTGCTGCCCCAGCTGTGAGTGACATGAGTTTTGTCCCTCCTTTGCCAAAGCCTCCTTCCCCTTACTGTTCTGGATCCCTCACTGCTCCCACACTTGGCCCCGTTTCACCCAGCCTGGAGTGCCATGGGGAAACCAGCCCCTCACTAGGGCTCTGGGCCCCTCATTTGTTCAGTGCACTTACCCTGTCCCTTGATTGGGCTCCCCGGCGTGTCCACCAAAGCAGAACTGACCCCCCCCATTTTACAGATAAACATCAGAGTAGTTTGGTGGCCCACCCAGCAGGGGACATCATGGCTCCTACTTCAGGCCCTTCCCAGTCCCTGCTCTGCAGTGCCCAGGCTGGGCCAGGCCAGTGAGGAGCCTGTGCGGGGAAGGAGGCCCCACAGCATGCTGAGCACCCCACCCCTCTTCTCTCGCCCTTCCCAGGCTCCCGAAGGACCACCAGGACAACCCGGACCTCCACTGCGGGGGCCTGAAGGAAGGCAAGCTCGTGGCTTTGAACTGCAGCTCTCCAAGACCCTGGGTCTGTGTCACGGAGGCTGGGTGACAGGGACTCGGCCACACTAAGCCTGTGAAGGTCTTGCAGCAACCTCGCCTCTGGACACGGGCTGCCAGGCCTCCCTGCCCTGGCCTGAGCACACCAGGGTTCTGGATCTGACCAGGAAGATCAAGGAGAGGAGAGCCTGGGCCTCAGGTCTGAGCTCATTTTACTCTCTGATGCAGGCTTACTTGGCGACCTGGGGCTGCTTTTTAGCATTCTGGTGCCTCAGTTTCCCCCTCCTTAAAGCGGTCATTTCCCACTCTCTCCCTTCCTGTCCCATCACACCCACTGCCCTCTCAGTCCTCAAGGAAGACAGAATCAACCACACAGATCCTTCCCGTCGGGGCTTTCATTTGCTCCCCTGATCTCGCGTGGTCTCGCCTCGTGTCGTGCAATGGGATTTGGCAGGGATCACATCACGGCCAGAAGTTGCATGGCGACTCGGTCAACGTGCTCCCAGGCCGCTTCTGCAGCTGACCAGGCCCGGCACACGTCAGCTGGCACAAGACCGCTGACACCACCCGCCAACAGCTGCGGCGGAGAACAGCGAACGGGAAAGGGGCCCTCCTTCCCGGGGAGGAAAGGGGAGCATTCTCCTTGCCCTGGGAGTTGGCAAATGGCCCAGAGACAGGAAGAGTGCCAGGATGTGAGCATGCGGGGCTGATGCCCATGAGCGCCCCACATGGCAGGCAGAGGTGCTGCAAAGCACCCGCCTGAGTGAGGAAGGCGACTCAGTGCTGGCTGCGAAGATGACCTGAGACGCCTGTGCTGCGGTTCAGTGAAGGCCCTCAGAGGCAGCAGCAAGGGGGCAGCCCGGAAGAGCCCAGGAATCTGGACCTGTGTCCTGCCTCAGTGCGTGGCTGTGACTCGGCCGTCCTTGCAAACCAGCCTTCTAGCATTACCATGCACCCAAGTGACTCAGAGACGCTGTCACTGGTGCATTTGAGCCACAGCTTGAATGGGTCATCTGGGAGAAAGGGACAGAAAACCCTAGATGGAATTTCCCATTACTCTTGGGAGGTAGCAACCAAAAGGGATGGGATGTCCTGGCCAGATGTGAAGTGGGAGCTGGGCTGGGGTGGCCAATCAGATTACAAGGAGCCCTGCAGACTGTGGTACAGTCAATAGCGTATGGAACTGCAGTGCTAGGAGCTGCATGGCCAACTGCAGGTTCAGATCACCAACCAGGCCCACCTGAAACACCAGGCTGGCATGCACATGTGCCCAAGATTCCGATGAGTTGGAGGGCCGGGGTTAGAGGGTCGCTCTCTTATCAGACCCTGCTGAGGGGGCCTCTCCCTCTGACGCACACACTAACAAATATAAAAAGCTTTGGGCCAGCAGGTGATGTGGTGGTAAGGTGCTGGAGCCCACATGGCCAACTCTGCAGTTCACATCTCGGACCCAGTGGCCTCATCACACCTGGCACGTGTGGATGCATGCCCAACATCTGGAGAGAGGGGGCGCGGCATGGCCATCCCTCCTGAGGAGTTATTTCTCACTTTCTGTCTCTGTCTTCTCTAGCCTGTGTGCATGTCCCCTATGGCAAGAGAATCTAAAAAAATTTAAGAGACTCCATCTTTCTCTGGTAAGCACACTTACCCTCTGACAAATTAAAAGGATTATGGGGGCCAGGCAGGTGGCATGATGGTTAAGGTGCTGGACTCCCACATTGCTGAAAGCAATGGCCACACATGTGGCCTATAGCAAAATTTAAATATAATAAAATTAATTATATAAAGAATTACAAAAAAAATTACATTGAATTATTGTTGTCAATACGCTTTTTTTGAGGGTTTTGCTATAGGGCGCGTGTGCTCGTCAGACAGAGACAGAAAGTGAAAAATCACCCCCCTGGGGTTGGCCACAATGCAATCCCTTCTCATCCCTTCTCTTGGGATCTTGGGCATGCAACTCGAACCGCAATTACATGGGAGTCCAGCGACGTAGCCGTTACGCCATCTGCTGGTCCCTGTCAATATGCTTTAAAACCAACCTCATTCGGGGCTGGCAGGCGCGTCATGGAAAAAGGCGCTGGACTCCCCCGTGGCCAACCACAGTTTGCATCCCGGACCTGGCGGCTTGTTTCCTTGCTTTCCTTTTCTCTCTCTCTCTCCATCTCTCACCAAATTAAAAAATAATAACAAATGGAATTAAATAATTCTTTAAAAAACAAACCACCCAACCAACCTAATTGAAGTACAAGTTACATGCAATCAAATGCGTGCATTTCCAGGGTGCAGACCATCGCTGGCGACCCACCCACTGTATGCATGTGTGGTTTTGTCCATGTAACCACCACAGCCTCGGTTCCCCTGGGCCCCTTCCCAGTCACTCACTCTGCTAGGAACCTGCGATCTGCACTGACACTGTATGGGGCACAGTCATACGCTGCTCCTGCAGTAAACTGCACGGCAAGGGAGAGACACCGTATTTCTGCACATTAGTTTTATTTTTATTTTTTTGGAGAGGTTTTCGCTATAGGGCGTGTGCGCTCGCCAGACAGAGACATAGAGACAGAAAGCGAGAAATCACCCCCCAGGGGGGATGGTCACGCCGCAATCCCTTCTCCTCCATTCTCCTCTCGGGATCTTGGGCACGCACGCACATGCGCCCGGCGTGAGTTTTAAGCCACCGGGTCCGGGACACGAACTGCAGTCGACTACGTGGGAGTCCAGTGACATAGCCATTACGCTAACTGCTGGTCCCTGCACATTAGCTCCCGAGTTCCCTTGTGTCCATTTTCTGATGGTCTGAGTTTGCCGGATGATCATATCTGCAGATAAGGATAACTTGGCCTCTTGCTTTCTAAATGGTGGACGAAGTTCTTTCTGTTTTCTAACTGCATTGGCTAGCGTCTTGGGACAAAGTTGAAATACCAGTGTTTATAGTCAATAGCTGTTCTAGTGCATTCTGTTGGTAACGACCGGAAACTGGGTGCTTCATTAGAACAGAGGTTGACTCAGCTGAGTGTGAGGTCCAGGGGCTGTACAGCTGAGGGCCTTGCTGGTGGGTCACGTGGCAAGACGGCAGGGCCGAAGTGCACCTGTCTGTCTCACTTGGTCTTGCCCTCTAATAAACCCACCAGGAGAAGCATGGGCGCTGCAACTCAGGTCTCCTTCCAAAAGCCCACCTTTCAACATCAATTAAGTTTTCACCCTCCCATTCCCAAAAAATCTCAACACACGAATTTTGCGGGGGGACATATTCAAACCATGGAGACAACTTTATCCCGACTTTGATGGGAATAATTCCATTTCCCCGTGAAGTTCATTTTGGGGTTGAAGGGTGAGTGTGCAAGTGTGTACATCTGTCCCTAGCTTATTCAGAGCAATGTAATTTTATCACGGGTTTTCAGCATATCGAAGACCATCTATCTTCTTCTTTTTTGACCTTTAGCACAGCACATTATAATAAAAGATTTCCTAAAATCAAAAGACCCCTGCATTTCTGGAATAAACGTCCCTTAGTTATGGTGTTTAATTCTTCAAATATGTTGCTAGAACCTATTTGCCAAAATTTTGTGCTAAAGTTTACAGCAATGGGGGCCAGCAGGTGTTGCAGTGGTTACTTCGCTAGACTAACATGTCTGACAGCTGTTCAAGTCTTGGACCTGGTGGCTTGAAAATCACACTGGGTGCATGTGTGTGCATACCCAAGATCATGGAGGGGGATGGAGAAGGGACTGCGCTGTGGTCAACCCCCATGGGGGATGATTTCTCACTCTCCCAACTCCCATCCCCCACTGGCACACACTCCCTATGGCAAAAACCTCTAAAAAAATAAAAGTTTACAATGTCAGGCCAATAGGTTGTGTGAGGTTAAGGTGCTGGACTCCACATGGCTGACTGCAGTGTGAGTCTTGGACCATGCAGCCTGAAAAGCACACCAGGTGCCTGTGCGTGCATACCCCAAATCCTGACAGGAGACTGGAGAACAGGATACATCATGGCCGCATGTGGGCGCTGACAAGTAAGATGCTGCCTTTTTGAAATGCCTGTCATGGTGTCCTTAGAACTTTGTTACAAAAAGGGGGGGGGGGCTCCTTGAAGAGGATTTCACTAAAAACTATTTTCTTTACAATGAACTGTTTTTTGTTTTTGTTTTTGTTTTTTAAAGAGAATTATCTTATTTAACTTTATTTAAATTTAACGAGAGAGGGAGAAAGAGAAGGCGGAGAGAGGGAAAGTGAGAAAGCAAGCTGCCAGGTCTGGGACTCCAACTGTGGTCAGACGTGGGAATCCAGGGCTCTTAACCACCACGCCACCTGTTAGCCTCTACAATTAACTTGAAAAGAACTTTTTTGGGAACCAGCAGTTAGCGTAATGGCTAAGTCGCTGGACTCCCACATAGTCAACCGTGGTTCGCGACCCGGACCCGGTGGCTTAAAACTCACGCCGGGCACGTGTGCGTGCGTGCCCAAGATCCCAAGAGGAGAATGGAGGAGAAGGGATTGAGGCGTGGCCATCACCCCTGGGGGGTGATTTCTTGCTTTCTGTCTCTCTGTCTCTGTCTGGCAAGCACACGCACCTTACAGTGAAAATCTCCCCCCCCAAAAAAAATTTTTTTTGAAAAGTTTTTGCTATAGGGCATGAGTGCTCACCAGAAAGAGATAGAGAGAAAGCAAGAAGCCACGCCCCCACCAAGGGGGAATGGCCACGCCGCAATCCCTTCTCCTCCATTCTCTACGGGATCTTGGGCACGCACGGTGTGAGTTTAAGCCACTGGGTCTGGGACTCAAACTACAGTCGACTACAGGGGAGTCCAGCGACATAGCCATTGCCTTTACGCCAACTGCTGGTCCCCCCAAAAAAAATTTTTAAGAGGCTTTTGCCTCAGGGCATGTGCACTGGCAGGGAAAAGACACAATGAAAAGGAAAGCAAAAAATTACTCCTCGGGGGTATGCCCTCTCTGCAATCCTTTGTCCTCCATTCTCCTCCCAGTGTCCTGGACAAGCATACACGTGCCTGGTGTGACTTCATTTTTTAATTACTTTTTAATTTTATTTTTTAAATTTGACGAGAGGGACAGAAGGGAGAGAGCAAGTCACCAGGTCCAGGACTCAATCCGCGGCCGGCCATGTGGGAGTCCAGTGCCCTTAACCACCATGCCATCTGTTTGGCCCCAGTGCCCTGTGTGATTTTCAAGTCACTGAGTCTGGGACTCAAACCACAGTCGGCCACGTGGGAGCCTAGCGATGTAACCACTAGGCCTTCTGCTGGTCTCAGTTAAACTCTTGCTTTAAAAACATTTTCTTCTCCTTACAAGGAAAAATACAGTTCTGCTTTCTCCTCTCCTTTCATTACTCTGCCTAACGTTAGTCAACTGTATTAGATTAATCTGCTACCTGCACCACTAGCGTTTAATCAGCTCTCTCTCTTTTCAGAGTTGGCTGTAGCGGGTCACCCCTTTCACGTCACATCATTGTTACTTAGACCATCGTTTTTGTTCCTTCCATGAGCAGGAGAGACGGCAGTCCCGGCATGGTCCGGATGCCGCGACACACGCTCAGCGCCAGCTGCCCCGGGCGCCTCACGCCAGTGCTCAGTGCACGCGAGGAAGCCTGCAGACGCAGACCAAGAGCCTGTCCACGCGAGCCGGCCTGGCAGAGCGCTTTACCACTGTCCCACCCTCTCAGCCCTGCTAAGTTTTTGTTTTTGCCCATGGGGTGCATGTGCTTGTCAGTGAGTGAGGAATCACGCCCTTGGGGGATGGCTGTGCCACAATCTCGTCTCCGTTCTCCAATTGGGATTCTGGGCACAGGTGCACATGCACCTAGTGTGTTTTCCGATTTTTTGTTTGTTTTTGCCCCTAGAGGATTTTGCCATAGGGCACATGCACTGACTGGAGAGACAGAGACAGAGAGAGAAAGAAATCACTCCCCCGCTCCACCCCCCACCCCCCAATGCCCGCCCTGGAGATGGCTACACAGGAATCCCTTCTCCATTCTCCTGGGATCTTGGAACACACACACACACACACACACACACACACACACACACGCAGCAAGATTTTCAAACCACTGGGTCTGGGACTCAAACCACGTTTGGCCATCTGGGAGTTCAGCGATGTAACCACTTATGCCATCTGCTGGTCCTGTCCAGCATGCTTGTCTTTTTCTTTCTTTTTTGGAGAAGTTTTTGCTTTAGGGCGTGTGCGCTCACTGGAGAGACACAGACAGTGAGAAGGAAAGTGAGAAACCACCTCCTGGAATGGTCATGTCGCAATCCCTTCTCCATTCTCCTCCTGCGATCTTGGGTTTACATGCACACCTGCCCGGTGTGATTTTTAAGCTGCCAGATCTGGGACTTGAACCAGTCAACCATGCGAGAGTCCAATGTTTTAACCACCATTCCACCTGCTGGCCCCAGGCCCCTCGTGGTTTTACCGTTTTTATATTCCTAATTAGCCAGATCTTTTTATAATTCTTTTTAACTTTTTCAATTAAATGGATTTACTGCTCTCAGTCTCTTTCCACTAATTCACCATCTATTTTTGTCTCCAGTCTTGGGTAGTTTATTCAGAAAAGGCTCCTGAAAAATACTTTATGAGTTTCTCAATTTGTGTGTATGTATATAAAATACCTATTTTCAGGGGCCAGCGGGCAGCACGGTGGTTAAGGTGCTAGCATGGCTGACTGTGGCTCGAGTCCTAGACCTCACTTTTCCTCTCTCTCTGGTGTGTGCATGTGATTGTAGCAAATTAGTTTTTTAAATATGTATTTTCATATGTGGAAAAAGTTCTTAAACAACTGGCGGGTAGCTGGACAACGGTGTAGCAGTAAAACGCGGCATTTTGCAAGGCTGACCATGAGAATCTGGGGGTTCAACGCCCAGGAAGCTCCCTCAGTACACTAGGCACACGTGCGCCCCTGACCCAGGGCTGGTTCAAGCTGAAGGTGGATCATGATATTGGGACCCTGTGGCAGGCACTGTCTCTCTCTCATTTATGGAAGAAACAAGTATTTAAAAATCAGCTAGGTAAATAATTCTTGGATTAAACTTCTTCCTTGACATACCTGAAGACATTACTTAACTATCTTCTAGCATTGAAGGTTACGGCATAATACTGGAGTCCAGTCATTTTTTTTCTCTTGAAATGATTTCATGGGGCCAGGCTGTCATGGAGGTTAAGGCAGCTGGATCTCACACAGCAGGCTGCGTGGTTCCAGTCCCAGACCTGGGAGCTTGGAAAACATGCTAGGCACGTGTGCATATGTGCCCCAAACGCCATGAGAATGGAGAAGGGCATTTCAGCATGGCCATCTCCCCAGGGTGTAATCTCTTGCTTTCCCTTTCTTTTCCTCTCCCCGGTGAGCACATCTGAAAGACATTTTAAAATACGACTTTATGTCAGGCTGGCCATGACCTAGTGCAGGGGTCCTCTACCTGTGGGCTATGGACCACTTTGAGAGGTCACACAGCAGGGAGTGGGGGGCAGGTGAGCAGGCAAGAGCTGCTCTCTGCTGCTCGCACTGCCACCTGGGCTCCATGTCCTGATCTCATGGAGTGCAACCCCTACTGCTGTGTGACCGTCTCATTGTTCCCTGCAATGCGGTACTGGTGGGAACGGGGTGCGTGGTTGACGTGATGTGCTTGATTCTTCTCACCCCATTCCATAAAGGGACTGTCTTCCACGAGGTCAGCCTCTGATGCTGAGAAGACTGATGGAATGCTGGACTAGTGGTTAAGGGAGCCAGGTCCTGCATGGCTGATTGTACAATCTGAAACCCAGCCCCGGCCGCTGCAGACACTATGTGCACGTGCTTGCACGACCAATCTCTCGACAGGATGTTGGAATGGAGACAGCATTGCAGCATGATCACATCCCACTGGGGGTTGCTTTTTCCCTCCACCAAGATGGCATGTCCCTGGCAGAGAAAAAAAAAAGGCTTTATGTCTGGGTATCTGATGGTGCTGATGGAGATCTTTCTTTTCTGTGAAGTACACTACATTTATTGGACTATAATTTCAGTGGTTTTCCTGGGGCTTGGTACGTGTTTTTTTTTTGTTTTGTTTTGTTTTGCTATGGAGTATTTATGTGCTAACCAGAAAGAGCAGGGAAGTGAGAAGGCACCCCACAGAGGGGGATGGCCACACCACAATCCCTTCTCTTCCACTCTCCTTTTGGAATTCTGGGCACGCACGCACATGTGCCCGGCATGTTTCTCAAATTACCAGGTCTGAGACTGAAGTATGCAGTCAGCTATGTGCTGTCTTAACCACACCACTGGTGTGGCCCCAAAATACACTACTACTTGGTGTGGAAAAAATGGAACTTGGGGGAGAAAGTTTACCTTGGTTTCAGGCGTAATAAAGTAAGAATGCCTTTCTCTAAAACACAAGTCTGCTTCAAATGGAGGCTTTCCACCTCGTAGTTTCAGTTGCTGCTATTGATACGGCCTAGCCAAGGAGCTTCGGGGAATACACGGCAACAGCAAAACACAGCGGCTTTACCAGAGGTAAACACATGGAGCGTGGCCAGTGTTTTTGCAAATGCCTAAGCTCAATGACCCTTTCTACTACAGTCACCAGCTAACATCGAAGTATCAAAAATTATGTTATGAGAAAGAGATCTAACATTGAGATTTTAGGGTTATTCTAATTCACAGTGGCTGGCCTCATGGACTTTTTTTTTTTTAAAGATTATTTTAGTTTTTAATTTGACCAGAGAATGAAAGGGAAAGTGAGAAAGCAAGCCGTCAGGTCCAAGATGTGAACCATGGATGTCTATGGAGTCCAGCACTTTAATCACCATGCTACCTGCTGGCTCTCATGGACAATCCTTTAAAATGAAGATTGCTTATCTCAAAGTCTACTTCTAGAAGCATCCAAGCAATGGAATTGTTCTAAAATGATTTTTAAAAAGGGATCATTCCCATAAGGGCCTATGCAGTTGAGTGATCTCTGTGGTAGCGAGCCCAGAGGATGGTGTGCTTCACTGGCCATCATTGGCATGGTGGTGGTGCTGGTTACAACCTAGGCCAACCAGAAAGCACAACTCCATGAGAACTCAGACAGTGTTACTTCTTCAAGTACTCAATTCCAACTGTACAAATATCAACATGAGGATGCATTACTAAAGGATGCTTCAGAGTTTAGTATCTAACTCCACATATGTCATTAATTCATGGAAGGGGGTCCCTGGACGCGCTTCTTTGTGCCTACCAGCTAATCCTTTTCATCTTACTCCAAAGAACTAAATCCACACAGTGCTTGAAAAGGTTTAGGAGAACAGTGGGGACCACCAGGATCAAAATAAATACAATTTCTCAGCAACTTAATAAAAAGGGGGGGGGGGCAATGGGACACTGATACAGGTGGGTCTCTCACATTAAACTCCAGAGTAACTCAACAAGAGGAACCAAATGGGACAGAAACTCTCCAGCTAATGAGGCACAGCTTGGTAAACTGGGAACTGGGAACTGGGAAATGGTGGGTGTAAACCCTGATGTAAATCTGCTAACCCTGACAGTGGCACTGGTTTTCTGTTCTTGAACATCTATAGAGGCCCATATTCCTCTGTCACATCAAATCTGTCAAATGTTGGGGCCCCAAAAACACAAACAATTCCTGAAAGGTGACCTTAATCATACTTGCCGACAGTAATTTTATTTTTGAGAGAGAGATTTTTGCCATAGGGTGCATGTGTTCACTGGAAAGACGGAGAGACAGAAAGATCTTGGGCGCGCACGCACATATGCCCAGCGTGAGTTTTAAGCCATCGAATCCGGGACTCGAACGTGGTCGACTACGCAAGAGTCCAATGGTGTAACCATTACATCTGCTGGTCCCCCTAATTTCATTATGCATAAAATGTATTTTTTGTTTCTCAGATTTTCTAGACTCACAGGTAATACCTACCTTCTGTGGAGAAACTTGTAGTCCCATTAAGCTGGTTACATACACTGTTTTTATTTAGATTTGCTGAATGAGAACAATAACAAAAAACAAAAAAAAAACCCCACAATTTCTTCTGTAGGTCCAGTCCTTTTGTACAAAGGTTGGTACAGACAGCCCTGAAGCCCAGAAACAGAGTTAGTGAGGGCCCTGGGTGGGCGACACTTCACCTGGGACCTTGGCAAGTCTATGTCTATCTCCTTTGGTGCCTCGCACAGTAAGGCACTGCTAATGTTGGAACAGAACAGAGGAAATGCCCACACCAAATAGTTCAAGGAACAACTTACTAGACAAGTTACAGTCTAATGATGGTAGTTGGTGATTGTTTTTTCATTTTATTATTATTATTTTTACAATAGGGTGTAGCTTTATATTCCACACACACAAAATAAAACAAGAAGTGCTTAATACGAAAGAGTCCCTGCCCCCACCCCCCTCAGAACATCCTGAACATAGCAATCCAATAGAACAGAAAAATCAAGACAAGTTTGATTTCAAAATTTCAATAAAAAAGCAAAGTTTATAATGCAACAGCTGTTCAACTTCCAACTCTAAATAGGCACCATTAAACAAACCACCTCCCCCCACCCCAGCATTTTAAATCTCCAGCACACATTCCAGTATAAATGCTCTGAACTGTAAATCAGCTAATAATTAATAATGGGAATAGAACCTTAGAACAGAAGTTATATTGCTTCCCTGCCGCCCTTCTCTTATAGGTATGGAGAGCGCAGGTATTAGGGGATACAAAAGTCAGAGGAAGAAGAATTAAAAAAGAAAAATCCCCAAAGCTGCAGCTGTTTGAACTAGAAAGGAAGACAGCATTTTACAAATGTTCAAAAAACCCCAAGGCAAGTAACACAATTCGTTCACTAGCACTCCTAACTTGAAGGATAAGGAGATCAGCATCTTATTGTATAAAACGGTACTCTGAACTGTATTACAGGTTCACCAGAAACTATGGATGTAGTTTTAGCTTCACCAAGGAAAACAGGTTCAGTTCAGATCAAGTCAGATACTGTGTCTCTAGCCTAGCTGGATGGGTGTCTGGAACTGCCCACTGTCACCCTGAACAGCTGTAAACTAAACGGTAGGATGGAACTCCATAGGAAGCTTAAGGACTGAAGAGCTGCACACAGCTAATTAGATCTCCCCTGCTTCACGCTCTTCAGAGCTCCTCCTGTCTTCTGATCTGCCATTAGCACTCTCATAGGACCGCTTCTTATCTTTTCGATCTCTGTCACGAGGTGATCTGTCTCTTGAACTCCTGTCTCTGTCACGTGATGCTAAGTCTTGGTCTCTGAATCTCTCTTTTGAGGATCTGAAAAATATTAATTTGAGGAGCAAAATATGTTGGGAAACCCAAAATCCAAAGGAAAGAATAGGAAAAATATTAAGCTACTGATCGCTGAAGATGTGTGGACGGATACACCCAAGACAGAGGAGGAAGGCTTCTGATAGAGAAGAGCACTGGCAAAGTGGATGAGGGGACCTCGGTGAGAAGATGGGTGAAAACCAAGTGTTGTGGGTCAAAGAACATAAGCTAAAATAATGACTTACAGGATACTCATTACCAGTGACAAACAATTCATTAAAAAAGTATTTATTGTAAAAATAATATATAGATAATAGTTTTAAAAAGTGAAAGGTATTATCAAATTTTAAAAAGATATACAGTAGAATACAGACTCCAAATTGGATGGAAACCAATGCCTTAGCACGAGGGTCAGCAAACGGTTTGCTGCCCGGCTAGTAGTTTCAATTCTCCAGCACACATTCCAGTATAATGCTCTGAACTGCAGTCAGCTAGTAATAATGGGAAAGGAAAGGAAATATCTGAGGCTCTGCAGGTCACACCATCTCTGTGGCAGTATTCTCCCTTTCTCTGAACCAACTCTGAGAATGTAAAAGCCACTCACAGTTTGCTGGCTGTACAAAAACAGGCTACACAGGAATGATCTGGCCTGTAGGCAGCAGTTTTGCCAATACCTGATTTAAATGGTGACTAGAGAACTGCTCCATTAATAATATGGCTTAATAACCATTTATTATTTTTAAAAATCTGCTTCACTCCTCTAGATACAGCTCATTCAACTAACAGGGAAACAAAAAACAAACAAACAAAACAAAACAAAAACCAGAATGGAAGACAGAGAAAGATGACCACAATAAATCTTGATTAACTATAGCTGTTTCTTAAAACTACTTGCTCCATTCCCATGTTGGGCACTTCAATAAGGCTGAGCATCCCTAATCCAAAGTCCAGAAAACTCTAAAACCTGAAAACTACTGAGGGTGAACATGATGTCACAGGTAGAAAATTCCACACTTGACCTCATGTAACAGGTCACAGTCAAAACACTGTAATACGAAAGTAAGGTACAAAATAACCACAGACTACGTGTACGAGGGGTCTTCAAAAAGTTCACAGAAAATGCGTACTGGGCCAGCTCACGACGTGCTTGTTAGGGAGGCTGGGACCTCACTCGGCGATCTGGACAGTTAAGAGTCCCAGGCCCAGCAGCCTGGGAAACATGAGTGTGTGTGCCCAAAATCCCAACAGGAGAATGGAGGAAGAGGGATTGTGGCATGGCCAACCCCTCTGGCAGGTGCCTTCTCACTCCCTCGCCCCATCTTCAACAAATGTATGTGCCCTATAGCAAAAAGGCTATTATGAAAAAACTATGTGCTGACATAAATTTTTCTGCACCAAAATTAACTTACTTTAGTTCCGTTTTCCACGCACAGTTTGAAGTCCACTTGTATGAGGTGTATATGAAACATAACGACTTCTGTGTTAGGACTTGGGGCCCATGCACAAGATATCTAATTAATACAGTCATGTGCCACATAGTGTTTCAGTCAGTGACAGACTATGAGGTTAGAACAGGCTCTATCACTCTAGATTTGCATAAGTACACTCTGATGTCCATGCAACCATGAAACTGCCTAACATTTTTCAGAAGATATCTCTGTCATTTAGCAAATCTGACTGTATGTGCAAATTTTCCAAAATCTGAAATACTTCTGATCCACAACATTTTGGATAAGGGATACTCAACCAATAATAACAAAAGAAGCTCATATTAGAGATTCAATTGAAGGGAAAACCAAAGAACATCACAGGATCAGAATAAATGCATAATCTATGAGCATCTAGAATGAATCAGTAACGTATTTTTTACATTTACTTGGTTCTTTACAGGTGAAATACTACTTTTACATAATTTTCTTATGTTCAGGATTAGGATCTGAGCACTTGCCAAGAACCTAAATAAGTAATACTTTCAGGAAAAAAAGAAGGCAGGGGGAAAATACTGCTGCACTCGGTTTTAGAAACATAGTTAAGGAAGGTTAAAAAGAAAGCCCAAAGATTAAATAATGTCAACTTGAAATATTCTCTTTAATTAAGGTTTTAATCAGATTAATTTTTACATTACGTACTAAAAACAAAAATCAGGCAGTCTAAATCTAGTGATCGCGAGTCTACTCTAGCCTTATCCGTAGCCTCAACAGGAATGGAGTACGAAGAACGACGACAGAAACAATACCTAAGAATAAGGACACTAGACGCTGGTAAGTCCCAGAGACGAGTGATAACCGAAAAGCAACTATGAGATAAGCACCCTGATGTCCAAAGTACTACACGTAAGCAGTTTCCACATGCCACTTCATCACACTGCCAACCATCCCAATAAAGCAGCTCCTCTTACTATCTGGACTTAGTAGATGAGAAAAAGACAGTGGGAGAATTAAATCGCTTGGCCAAGGCCACTGAGCCCAAGCAGGATGACTCTGGAGTCTCCACTGCACACGTCTGAACAGAGCAGAGGCAGCAGGATGCAGAGGGTTCTCGTTTACCCAGGGTAACTGCTGACAGGGAAAGGTCAGAGATAAACCTGTCTATATCAGAGACCGCTATTCCACAGCAGGGGCAGGAGGACAGTAAAACATAAAAGGCATCTGACTGGAGCTTTTACTTCAAAAATTAAACCCAGGTAGCTATGTAGCAATAAGTTGATGTTGTATGTAGTAACACATAGGTTTTTAATACCAACTATCTGGCTGATCTGGGGTAAAACCAATTAAGAGGCTTTAAAAGAGAGTCCTTTTAATTCAAAGATGAGAAATGCTCTTGAGAAAGGCAAAACCTTTAATAGTTTTACAAAAATAATTCTGTGTATAAATATGCTGAAATTCGCAGATATGAGGGGCGCCATGCATTACAGTGGGAAACCTCCTACACAACTTCGCCAACACAGGAAGCATCAGGGACTGGATGAGGAAACGTCATGCCGTCCCTCCGCCCCACCACCGGGACAGACAGGGAAGAGTTCCCGCAGACCTGAGCGATGACAGCAGAGCAGCCTGACATCGCGTGGATGTCGTCACCTGGCTGGAGGACTCCCGAAATTCCAGTGTGCAGGCAACAGAGAGCTTTTCAAATGTGTTGTTTCTGGACGAAGCCATGAAGGTAGCTTCCAGAACCCCACTGTGAGCATAAGCCCGGCGGCCACACAGCACACGCTGTCCCTTACCACTGCCACTGCCCAGCTCATTCTCGCATCTGCCTACGAAACTCACTCTAAATGGAATGTGTCTACGCGAGTCTACCGTTCAAATTACACCCACTTCATCCATTTTATCAACTACCTGCACCATGTTTGATTACTCATCTCTCTCATCTAAACGCTTTGAGCATTTATAATACAGGTTAGCACTTTATAAAATGTGGTCCTACATCAATCTAATTATCATTGAAGATGTCAGTCCTGTGTACTAGCTCACGGTAAACCTCTTACGGCAATTTGAATACATTTGCTCAACTATGTTGTATTTGTTTTCTTTTTTCTTTTTAACTAAGCCTCGTATGGTAGAAAGTATATACCTCTCACTGATTAAGTCACCTTAAGGACTACAGAGAACAAGGCCAGAATATACGAAAAGAAAAACAAAATACTGATAGCCTATTGACAAACAACTTAACAGTGATTTCAGGGAATGACTAGTTGAATTTTTTTTTAAAAAAAAGAAACATTTTAACAATTTTCTGTAGATTCTAGCAAGGATTTTTTGTGGAATAATCCATAGAAAATATATGATTAGTAGGTGCCGTGCTCTCAAACGTTTGTCATGTATTTGCTAAAGAGCAGTTGTCAAATAAGAAGCCATTTTAAGTACAGGTTACCTTCCATTACGTGACCTGAGGAGTCTGGGCACGTCACCTGTATGAAACCAGGAGTCCTGAACGCCGTGACTAAATGCTAATCCTGTGTCTGCGCTCAGCAGATACTCAGGTCCTTAAATACACCTCAACTTGCTGTCCTGCCCTCCTTGTACCTTTGGAGCTTCTCTTAACACCAAAGAAGTCCTGGAGCTTCCTTAATGTTCTGAATCTGCCCCAGCAACCTAATGGTAAATAACAATGCATGCCTGTAGTTCAGATTAAACACGAATAAACTAGAATGTGTCCGCTCTGGGAAAGTATACCAGCTCAAGTAAGTTTGGAAAACAATAAGTCAAACAAAGCTAAACAATTCTTTAATGAAAGGATTTCTTAAGAGCCTCTAATTTGCTAATACATATTGAAAAAACTCTTAATGAGTATTGGTACCTAAAATTATTTGTCCACAAAGTACTTTTTTCCAAGACACATTAAGCAGAGAAAAGCCATAACCTCTGCGTATATTGGTTCCAATTTCTAACTCTGGCTCATGAAGTATATTCTTTCGTAACAACCCATTAATCAAGGAAAAAGTGTTACACACCCACACACAAATGTGTACATTTTACCAGATGCAAGTTTCAAACCAATAATCTCTAACTCTGAACAGAAGTAACATAAGTAAACATAAACAACTAAAGCACAAGGCAGCTCCACATCCTCGGGCGGGCACGTCAATACCTCCTCTTGGACCGCTCTCTGCTCCTATCTCTAGAACTGTGCCGACTTCTCTGGTGGCTGCGGCTGCGGCTGCGGCTGCTGGAGCGGGACCGATGGCGATGGCGTTTCTCCCGAGATTTGGATCGAGTTCTCCTCTTGCGTTCCCGTGACATGGAGCGGGACCGGTGTCGGCGGTGCTCTCTGGACCTGGATCTATGCCAAGAGAAGATGTGATCTCATTTTCAGCTTCATCAGCACATTTTTTACTTTCTAAAGCCTTTTCTTTAAAGGAAAACTATTCCTTGACAGCTGAACATAATGCCAGTTCTATTCCAAGCCAGCCAAATCTACATTAAAATAAATGACTATATTAAAACTACTTACAAGTATTTCAAAATAAAACTGATTTTTTTTTTTTTTGAGAGGTTTTTGCTATAGGACGCGTGCGTTCACCAGAAAGACAGAGAGAGACAGAGAGAGAGAAAGTGAGAAATCACTCCCCAGGGGGATGGCCACACCGCAATCCCTTCCCCTCCAGTCTCCTCTCAGGATCTTGGGCATGCATGCACACGCGCCCGGCGTGAGTTTAAGCCACCAGGTCCAGGACTCGAACTGTGGTCGACTACATGGGAGTTCAGGACATAGCCATTATGCTAACTGCTGGTTCCAAAACTGATTCTTACAAGTCAATCATACTGTACAAATTTACATCAGAAATATAAAAAATAGAAGGTGAGGCCAGTAGTGGCATGGTGGTTAAAGGTGCTGGACTCCCACATGGCCAACCATGGTTCGAGTCCCAGACCTGGTAACATTCTTTCTCGCTTTCTCTCTCTCTCTCTCTCTCTCTCTCTCTCTCTCTCTCTCTGATGGGTGCATATGTCCTGTAGTGAATTAAAACTAGTAATAATGGCAAAATTAAAAGTGATGAATTATGTCATGATGATAAGCCAGGGACTGTATTACCTAGATGCTTTATTAATTTAATTTCATTTAAACTTCTAAGACTTCTGGCATACTTTAGAAATTAAGTATATACCCAAGGGACATGGACAGAAGGCAGCCGAGACAGGAGAAAGCATAGTGTTTAGGGTAAATTACTCTACCTGAAATGGAAAGGTTGTATGAACACAGACATAAGTTTTGAAAGCCCACAATAGGCCTAGTCACAGTGTAATCAAAATGCAGTGAGGAGGCCAGCAGATGGTGCAGCAGTTACGTTGTTAGACTCCCACATGGCTGACTACAGTTTGAGTCCTGAACCTGGCAGCTTCAAACTCATGCCAGGTATGTGTGCACATGTGCCCAAGATCCCAGAAGGAGAATGGAGAATGGATTGCGGAGTGGCAATCCCCCTGGGGGGGGTGATGTCTCACTTTTCCTCACTCTGTCTCCCCCTCAAGGCAAAAACCTCTCAGAGAACAACAACAACATCCCACAGTATGACATCTCTCTAACCAAGGAGCACATACTCTGGGAAGGGAAAAACTTGCAAATCATTTTACTTGATTTGTAGAAAAATGCTTTTCTTATGAGTACAGAGTAGAGAAGGAAAAACACTTCAGTAGTCTTGGCTGAGTCACAACTAACCTGTGTGCAGACGTGGAGGTGGTGCAGCTGAGGGTGGCAGGCAGAGACGTAAGCATGTGAGTGGAAACCCCCAGGGAGGAGGTGAGCACCTCTGCTAAAAAAAAGCCCCTCTGAAGAGTGACAGAGGTGCTCTAAACTGGACCACGGTGATAGCTACACAACTTTACCAAGTGACATGTACACTTAAAAACTGATGACTCCGATGGAACGGCATATAAATTATATCTCAATAAAGCGGTGAGTTTTTTGTTTTGTTTTGTTTTGTTTTTTTAAGAGAGCTTTTTGCAACAGGGAGCAGGTACTTGCCAGAGAGACAGAAAGCAAGAAATCACCCCCTGGGGGGACGGTCATGCCACAATCCCTTCTACTCTGTTCTCTTGGGATTTGGGACACACACACACACACACACACGCATGCATGCATGCACCCGGAGTGAGATTTTTTTTAAAGCCACCAGGTATAGGACTCGAACCATGGTCAACTACATGGGAGTCTAGCAACATTACCATCATGCCACTTGCTGGTCCCAAGTTGTTAGGTTTTTCTGAGTTGCCTTAAGTATGTTTTGTTTGGGGTCAGCAGGTGCTGTGGTGATTAGGGTACTGGGCTCCCCATGACTGACCACTATTTGAGTCCTGGTCCCAGTGGCTTGAGAATCACACCAGGCCCGTGTGCATACATGCCAAAAATCCTAAAAAGAGAGCAGAGGAGAAGGGACTGTAGTGTGGCCATTTCCCCAGGGGAATGATTTCTTACTTTCTCCCCAACAAGCACACATGCCCAATGGCAAAAATCTTTAAAAAAAAAAAAAAAAAAAGATGTGTTCTCAAAATTTGATAAATTCAAAAGCACATCATTCAGATGGTCTAGTTTTCAAACTTAGTTCGTTTTTTCTTTATTTTAGTTTTTGCTATAGGACGTGTGTGCTCACCACAGAGGGGAAGAGAGAAAATAAATCATTCTCCCATGGGAATGGTCATGCCACAATCCCTTCTCCACTCTGCTCTTGGGATTTCGGGCACGTGCGCACACACGTGCCCGGCATGGTTCTCAACCTGCTGGGTCTGGAACTTAAGCCAGGTAGCTGGCATGTGGGATCCAGTTACTTAACCTACACGCCACCTGGTGGCCCACAAAATTTCACTTTTAAATCATCATCTTGATATTTTTGAAATTTAAAAGCATTCGGCTTATGTCAATATTATAGTCAAAAAAGTGCTCATATTGTGACATACTACCAATCATACTGAATAGAGCATGTATACCACTGAAGAGAATACGAGAGTACTTCAAAAGGCTTATCCAAGAATAGAATGAAAGATTCTGGTGCAAAAACAATTAAAATCCATGCAGGTTCTTTATAATAAGTATTTTCCATGTATTTTCGGGAAACCTTTCATATTTCCAAAAAGGAACAGAGGGAAAAGAATATAAAAATACTACAATACGCATTTTATCAAACGATATTTTGTTTATTCATTCAAGCTATAGTAACCCTATTTTTTTCAATTCATAATCTTATTCAACTTTTTAAAAATCCCGCGCATATACCTGTTTATTCAAAAACTACTGGTGCTAGTTAGCGGTGTGGTGGTTGGGACTGCTAGATGCCAAATGGCTGACAGCAGTTTCAAGTCACAGACCTGTCAGCCTGAAAAACTCGGTGGGCAATTTGTGTGCGTGCCCCAAATCCAAAGAGAATGGAAAAGAAGGGACTGTGGTGTGGCCACCCCCTCCGTAGGTGATTTCTCGCTTTTCCAGTCTCTTTCTGTCTCACACTGATAAGCACATGTACCCTATAACACTTTAACAAACAAACAAAAAGTTACTGGTGTCTTTTGCACTATTCTAGGTACTAGGAAAACTGAACAGTAAATAAAGCCCCTGACTTTTTAGAGCTTACTACTCTAGAAAGGGGTCTACTCTAGAAAGGGGTCTCTCTATATGAAAATTCAGACAGTAAATAAACATGTCACGTAGTAAAGGAACGATACATGAACAAAGGTAAAGATGCACAGAGAAATGGGGTGGTAATATTTTACATATAAGAGACATGGAAGGCTTTTCTCATATGACAGCTTTAAGCAAAGACTGGAAGTAGTAAGGGCAGAAAGCTGGCAACCATCTCAGAGAAAGTAGAGGAAATGCAGCTGGGAGAGCACACAATATGTGGCAGAAGAGACCAGTAGGCGGGAATGAAGCAAGCATAGGGAACTAACTGGACAGCCAAGGACTCCATCACCCAAGCCAGGGGGCTCTACAGGACAAACCACACAGAAACAAGAGCTATTTATAAACATTCTGAGAACACAGATATAAACCAGAACCCTCCCAGGGCAGACTTGGCTACATAATCACTCTGATTAAAAACTATGTAACAATTTGGACTTCTGCAAAAGAAGTAGGAAACTTTTGGAAATAGTAGATCTCCTTTTTTAAAAGGCACATTCTGGCTGATAAGGAAAATAAAAGGGAGAGGAGACTGGGAGTATGCAAACCCAGAAGTAAAGAAGATCAGGTAAGAAGCTATCGCTAGGACCAGCAGATGGTGTAATGGCTACATCGTTGGACTCCCACATGGCAGACTGTGGTTTGTGTCCCAAAACCAGAGGCTTAAAACATGCCGGGTGCAGGACCAGCAGTTAGTGTAATGGCTATGTTGCTGGACTCCCATGTATTTGACTGCAGTTCAAGTCCTGGATCCGGTGGCTTAAACTCACACCGGGCGCATGTACATGTGTGCCCAAGATCCTGAGAGGAGAATGGAGGAGAAGGGATTGTGGTGTGGCCAATCACCCCCCCTATGGGGAGGATGTGTGTGTGTGATTTCTCACTTTCTGTCTCTCTGTCTCTCTCTGTCTTTCCGGTAAGCACATGCACCCTATAGCAAAAACCTCTCAAAAAAAAAAAAAAATGCTGGGGGTGTATGTGCCCTTGCCCAACATCCCAAGAAAATGGAGAAGGGATTGTGGCATGGCTATCTTCCCTGGAGAGTGAATTCTTGCTTTGTGTCTCTCTGGCAAGCAAGTGCATGTGCCCTATGGCAAAAATCTATCTCTCAAAAAAAGAAACTACGGCAGTATCAAGGTTAAGAAGGGGCTTGGTGGAGCCACCAGATGGTGTGGTGGTTAAGGCACTGAACTCTCACATGGCTGACCATAGTCTGAATCCCGGACCTGGTAGCCTGCTTTCTCACTTTCCGTTTCTGTCTCTCTCTGGTCAAATTAAGAAGTAAATAACAAAATTAAATAAATAAATTTTTTTTTTTTTTTAAGGAAGGAGCTTGGACTAGAACAAGTGGAAATTAAATTCCCAGCCCAACTATCTAAAGATGTACAAATGCTTTAAATAAAATATCTTTTCAGCAAATGGATATTAATCAGCCAGTAACAAGAGCAGTATCACTGTTTAATGTTTCTATATCTCATCTTGGACCTGAGAAACTGACTATATATTAGTTGACAAAATTATTTATTTTTTAAAAAATAATTATTTATTTATTCATTCATTCATTTTTTAGTTTGACCAGAGAGAGACAGGGTGACAGTGACAGAGAGAGGAAGTGAGAAAGCAAGCCACCAGATTCAGGACTTGAACCCTGGTCAGCATGTGGGAGTGTCCAGTGCCTTAACCACCACACCACCTGCTGGTCCCCCCAAATTATTAATTTTTAATCATTAATTTATTATTGTTATTATTGTTATTATTGTAGAGGTTCTTTTGCTATAGGGTGCGTGCACTCACCAGAGAGACAGAGAGAAGGAAAGAGAGACAGAAAGTGAGAAATCCCCCCTCACTGGGGGGACTACGGGCCACACCGCAATCCCTTCTCCTCCATTCTCCTCTCGGGATCTTGGGCATGCGTGCACAAACATACACACACACACACACGCTCGGCCTGAGTTTCAAGCCACCAGGTCCAGAACTCAAACCACAGTCAACTATGTGGAAATCCTGCAACATAAACATTATACCATCTGCTGGCCCCAATCATTAACTTCTTATTGTCTTTAAATTTTTTCTGTTTTAAACAAAAATACCACAGAAAGATTCTAACATGTACTAAGGGGTAGCCAAAAGAAATTTAAGGTTTTTTTTATATCAATAAATGCTCTTGTTTTCAGGGAAAAATTCTTGAGAAATATTGATAGTTACTCTCTAGAGTGGTGTCAGGAGATTTCAGAGAGATGTGATCTAAACAAGAAGAATGGCAGTGTGACATTTTAAGATGCATGTTCACCCATCACTCCTGGCACACTGACTGTATGGCCTGCAGCTTGCCAAGGCAGGCCATAGAACTGGTCATAAAGTGACGAGGCCATGCAGCCAACACAGGCTGAACATAAAGGAGCTGTATCTCATGCCTAAGCAAGGACCGGGCTGAGAAGAAACTGTGAAGCAAGGCTGACAGTTATGTGCTCCAATTTCTAACTGTGTCTTGCTGTACTGGTCTGCACTCAATTTCTCTGCCATTAGCTTTACTGTTATTATGGTATCCCGCAAGGGTAAAATAACACCCCCAGCCTTACTGCAACTTTACTATAAAGCCAATTAGTGATCCTGAAGGAATGCGGTTTCCTAAGGTGAGGCAGGGATCAGGAAATTTGAGACTCCCCCACCTGCCTGTGTTAAGCTGAATTAGCATGTTAGGTTAAGTTAGTATAAACCAAATTAGTGTCAGTAGCATATGTAGACTAAGTTAGTTTAAGGCTAATTTTACATAAATATCCCTTGTTAAAGCTGCAGGCCAAGTTAGCTTATGTTAGGTCAAGTTATTGTACCCACCACCCACTCCCCATGACAGGGACTCAAAGATAAAGCTCAAGAATTCACTGATTAACAGACAAAAATCCAGCGAATAAAATACAGGGACCCGCGGGTTAATAGGACAGATCTGGCTAACAGCGACAGAATAAACAAACCTGAGGGCTCCAGGGGGAAAATTAACTATCTTAGCTGGGAGTTCTTATCTAGTTCAGGCAAGCAACAGATCGTCTTTAACTATAAAGAGTTTCTCATCTGTGTGCTGTTAACTTTGATAAACTGCTAATAAAACATCCTGTGTTGTCTCCTGAGCTACAAAATCTTCTCATCCAAAAAGGCCCTGTCCAGTAATCAAGATTTCAGAAGAAAATGCTCCAGACAGATGGACTCCTTCATTCTGAGGGCTGTGATCGACTTCACCTGATCAAACGGGACAGTGCATCATGTTTTGTGATTGTTTCCATACTTTGCATACCCTATTTCTTAGAGTAAATCTTTTACTTCCCCCTCACCCTTCCTACTTCTGTAAAACATCCCTCAATAAATACTTATGTTTGATAGCCACTGAGGCTGCAGTCTTGAGCTTGCTCTGGCTGTAGTCGGCTGAGAACATGCTGAAGGGCATCGAGGTTTCTACCTGAATTTCTGCTCGGCCGCCGTAGCCTTCCTGTGTATGAGCCTCAACCCACCCCGGCTGGAACAGGTCTCCGGCAATAAAGAAATGAAGACTTGGGAACCAGCAGTTAGCGTAATGGCTATGTCGCTGGACTCCCCCGTAGTGGACCGCGGTTCGTGTCCCGGCCCCGGTGGCTTAGAACTCACGCCGGGCGCGTGTGCGTGCGTGCCCAAGATCCCGAGAGGATAATGGAGGAGAAGGGATTGCGGCGTGACCATCCCCCCTGGGGGGTGATTTCTCGCTTTCTGTCTCTATGTCTCTCTCTGTCTGTCTGGCGAGCGCACGCGCCCTATAGCGAAAATCTCTCCAAAAAAAAAAAAAAAAAAAAAGAAATGAAGACTCTCATTTCAGAGGGAGAAAAGTATAGAGTCCAAAAAAAATCTGTAGAGAGAGACCTTGCTGGATTTTTCCCAATCAGTCTACCACCATTAGATCATACTTTCAAAAAAAAAAAAAAAAAGTTTTCTAGAGGTGCTTATGCTTGCGGAAGAGAGACAGAGAAAGAGAAAAAAGGAAAATCAAGAAAGCACCACCCGTGGGGGGATGGCCACACAATAGTCATTTCTCCTTCCAGGATTTTGGGCACGCATAAACATGCACCCAGCATTATTTTCTTTTTTTAAAATTTATTTTATTATTTTTGGGGGGGGAGAGATTTTCACTACTGGGCGCATACGCTCGTCAGACAGACAGAGAGACAGAAAGCGAGAAATCACCCCCCAGGGGGGATGGTCACGCCGCAATCCCTTCTCCTCCATTCTCCTCTCGGGATCTTGGGCACGCACACACACACGCCCGGCATGGGTTTTAAGTCACCAGATCCAGGACGCGAACTGCGGTCGACCATAGCCATTACGCTAACTGCTGGTTCCCCACCCAGCATGATTTTCAGGCCACCTTAACACTACGACACAGACAGGCCTCAATCACACCCTTTTTGTTCAATCATATTTCTATGTAGTCATCCATATTTTAATGTCTGTGCAATTAAGCCTCCATAAAAGGTCCAAAAGGAAGGAGTTCTGAAAGTTTCTAAACAGCTGAACAAATGAAGGCCTGCAGGAAGGTACCCACAACTCAGTCATGCTGGGAGGGTGGCATGCCCCAGTTCCACCAGAAGAGAAGAAACTGTGCCTGGGACCCTTCCAGACCTCGTCCTGTGTATCTCCTCTTCTTCTGGCTATTTATTTATATCCTTTAAAATATTCTTCATAAGGGACCAGTAGTTAGCGTAACGGCTGTCACTGAACTCCCATGTAGCTGACCGCGGTTTGAGTTCTGGACCCAGTGGCTTAAACTCACGCCGGGCGCATGTGTGTGCGTGCCCAAGATCCCAAGAGGAGAATGGAGGAGGAGGGATTGCTGTGTGGCCATCGCCCTGAGATGTGATTTCTCACTTTCTGTCTCTCTCTCTTTCTGGTGAGCGCACATACCCTATGGCAAAACGCTCTTAAAAAAAAAAAAAAAATCCTTCATAATAAGGCCAGCCAATGGTATGGCGGTTAAGACAGCTGGATCCCACAAGGCTGACTGTGCAGTTCGAGTCCCAGACCTGGTGGCTCAAAAGACACAGGAGACATGAGTGTGTATACTCCCAAAATCATGAAAAGAGGAAGAAATGGAGAAGACTGAATACTGTACCAGGCAAGATTATCATATGGGAAGGAAAGACAAGAACATTCTCAGATAAACAAAAACTGATAGAATGTACCAACACCAGACCAGATCTCCAAGAAGTTCTCAAGGGAGTGCTATACCAGGAAAATGAAATACAACACACAGAAATAGGAGTTTTAAAAACTAAGAAAATGGCCAACTTAATCATAGAGACACGTCTGGAGTTGAATATTATATCCCAGAATTTAATCGGGAAGATCAAGCCACAACAGAAGATAGAATAAGTACATGAGACTGAACTGGTGAAATAGGATTTTACGACTTTTGACTAAACATTGCTGATTTTCTTCTAGGGTTTGTTTTCCATTTTTTTTTTAAGGATTTTTGTCCTGTCTTGGCCTGCCGATAGGTTCATGTACATACCATCTAAACAGAATCCTTACCTGTTTCCTGGCTTTAAGTTTTAAGTAAAGTTGCTTAGCATTTCTTTGATTTATTAAAGCTAAAACTACTTTTCTTGAGAGTAAAAAATAAATTAAAAAATACCTATTTAATACCATACTAAGCTTTACAGCATCAGCGAGGTGCTACTAATATATTCATTCTCCTCAGTTTCACGCCTAAAATCAGACATGTGTTCACTGACATGTATATACCAGCTGAATTTGCTATTTACTGACAGTAGTTCCTTAACAGATTTTGTGAATCAATTAAAAAGGGGGGGGAATGGAAAACTGTAGACACCTAAGATAGTGTGAGAGGAGGGGGGGAAGTGGCAGAGGGTGAGAAATAGGGGTTAAAAAATATACATATATATATTCATGTATATATATGAAACTAGAAATGGAAAATTAATGACAATAACATGTATAATTAAGCTACAATGCCGTATATTTTGGATGGGAAATCACATTTTGTATGCTGTGATGACACTCAGGGAATGAATGTAAATTAATTAAAAATGTATCAGAAGAAAATTAAAAAAAGAAAAAGAATATCAGAGCTTCTTATACCAATCTTGTGTAATACCTACCGTTTGGGATTCTTGCTATGTGATCGGGACCTAAAGAAAAAAAAAAAAAGTATCTATTTTTAGAAAAGTGACTACAAGCAAAAGAAAAAACTTCAAAATGCTGTTAAATTGCAATCTTCCTGAGCTCTAATTTTCATATTAATTTTATAAATATAAGGCATGAATTTATGTACCCAAACTTCTCCAAAATGTACCACAAACTCTACAGACCTCCCCACCATGCTATACGGGCTTCCTTAACTCAGGATACCTGGGTTTAAAAATGTCTATGCTGCTGGGAGACTGCAACAGTTCATCGAACTTTCTGATTCTCCAGAAACCACTTCCAGCCTGGAGAGCAGTCTGCTAACAGCTGTCACTTCTCTTTTCCCTCCTGGGAACATAGTAAAACTTCTATGTTCATAGAGCAGATGCTTTGGAGCTACAACCTCATACTACAGCTCCTGGAACACCTAGCTCAATCTTTCAACAACTGTTTTCATGGGAAATGAGACACTTACGATGCATTTTTTCACATCTGCCAGAACACAGGCAATGATAAGTATGAATAGTTAATATTATGGTTGGAGGAATGTCATAGGGACATTTCTGTCCTGGGTAACACATAGCATGGCCGAAATCATGGCTTTGCCAGATGTGAGTTTTTACTCTGGCTCTACCCTTGTCATCTGTGTGACTTGGAAAATAATACATCCTCCCCCTCGGCTTATTCCGTTACTGGCAGAAAGGGAGTAATAATGTAAATTTCACCAAGGGAGATAGAGTGTTGTAAGAATTGCCTAAACTAAATAATAGTTAAATTTCCTAGCACAGTGTACCTGGTATTTATAAATTCAGCTATCACTTTCAACACCATATTTGGATTCCCATTCTGCAAAATTTTTGTTTCTTAAGAGAGAATTTTGCTACAGGGCATGTACACTCACCAGAGAGACAAAGAAACAGAAAGTGAGAAATAACCCCCCAGAAGGGATGTCCATGACACAATCCCTTTTCCTCCATTCTCCTCTTGGGATCTTGGGCACACATGCACATGTGCCTGGCGTGAGTTTCAAGCTGCCAGGTCCAGGACTTGAACCATGATCACCAATGTGGGAGTCCAGCAATGTAACTATTACACCACCTCCTGGTTCCCCCATCTTTTATAATTTCATACTTCCTTATCATTTCTTCATCTTCCACAATTACAGTATTTCGTTAAGGTCATAGATTTTTTTTTGGAGAAGTTTTTGCTATAGGGCACGTGCACTCGCCAGACAGTAGACAGACAGAGAGAGACAGAAAGCGAGAAATCACCCCCCAGGGGGGGATGGCCATGCCGCAATCCCTTCTCCTCCATTCTCCTCTCGGGATCTTGGGCACGCACACACATGCGCCCGGCGTGAGTTCTAAGCCACAGGGTCCGGTACACAAATCGCGGTCAACTAAGTGGGAGTCCAGCGACATAGCCATTACGCTAACTGCTGGTCCCAAAGTCATAGATTTAAAAAAAAAAAAATTTTTTTTTAGTTTTTTTAGGTTTTTTTTTTTTTTTTTTGGTTATAGGGTACGACCGCTTGCGGGGGAGAGAGAGAGAGAAAGATCACCCCCAAGGGGAATGGCCATGCTGCAATCCCTTCTCCTTCATTTTCCTCCCAGGATTTTGGGGGCACACACAGTCGGCATGAGTTCCAAGCTGCTGGGTCTGGGACTTGAGCGATGGTTAGCTATGTGGGAGTCCAGAACCTTAACCACTATTCCACTCACTGGACTCTAATTTTTTTTTTTTTTAACATTTTCAAAATAGGGGTCCATTTTGTAGTAATTGTCAAAATAAACTAGCCAGGTGGTAAGCAAAGGAAAAGTGATGGGCTTTCTTGTCATTTACAAATGTAAAAGCACAGTCTTACAAAGAATTTTTCTTATTTGACTGTCACTTCAGCTGACTCTTAAATTGAGATTTCCAATGTTACTTTAAATGTCATTTATACTGCCTTAAATACCATAGTATTGGCACCAGCTAGTGGGGTAATGGCTATGTCACTGGACTCCCATGTAGTTAACTGCAGTTTGAGCCCCGGATCTGGTGGCTTAAACTGACGCCAGGCACGTGTGCGTGCGTGCCCAAGATCCCGAGAGGAGAATGGAGGAAAAGGGATAATAATAATAATATTAGGCAATACAGTCATCCCTTGGTGTCCATGGAATGGACACCAAAATTCAAAGAAGCTCAAGTCCTTTACATAAAACAGCCTAGTATTTGCATATAAACTATAAACATCCTCCTGTAAACCATCTTATAAGAAACCTTTAATTTTAGGTTTTTGCCATGGGGCTTATGTACTTACCAGAAAGAGACAGACAGACACAGGGAAAGGGGAACAACCACCCCCCCAGAAGGTGACCATGCCACAATCCCTTCTCCAGTCTCCTCTTGGGGTTCTGGCTACACACATACACATGCCCAGAGTGGCTTTCAAGCACCCAGTATGATTTTCAACCTGCCAGGTCCAAGACTTGAACCATGGTCAGCCTTGTGGGAATCTAGCACCTGAACTACTATATCACCTACTGGTCCCACTTGCAAGTAATCTTAGCATCAGATGGAAGTGAAAAGGAAAATACATAAATTTCTTTGGCACTTCTCTCTTAGGGAGCCATCTCTGCCCTCTTCATAACAAATGGCATGGCCTAGCTGCACATGCAACTGATAGAGGCATGGATACTGAGGGCCGACTGCATTCCCGTAAGAACTTAGTGTACAAAGAGTGAGAGGGGACCAGCAGGTGGTGTGGTGATTAAGGCGCTGGACACTCCCATATGGCTGACCACAGTTCAAGCCCCGGACCTGGTGGCTTGCTTTCTCACTTTCTCTCTCTCTATCTCTCTCTGGTCAAATTAAAATAAATTAATAGGAACCATTATGCAGTTAGCATAAGGGCTATGTCGCTGGACTCCCATTTAGTCGACCGTGGTTCGAGTCCCGGCCATGGTGGCTTAAAACTCACGCTGGGCGTGTGTGCGTGCGTGCCCAAGATCCCAAGAGGAAAATGGAGGAGAAGGGATTGCGGCGTGGCCATCCCCCCTGGGGGGTGATTTCTCACTTTCTGTCTCTCTGTCTCTCTCATCTGTCTGGCAAGCGCACGCACCCTATGGCAAAAGCCTCTCCAAAAAAAAAATTTAAAAATTAATTAACAAATAAAATTAATAAATAATTCTTGAAAAAAAAAAAAACAAAACAAAGAGAAGAGTGAGAACATAAAGCTCAGAGATGAAACACGTACACAGCTGACAACACTTTCCCTAAGAAGGGGAACATCCATATGCAGGCTTGCTTTATTTTGGCATTACTACACGGAGGTGAAACGCTACAAGCCGTACAACACAAACCAAGTATGCGTAAACCTCCTGAACTAGACCAAGGATAACATGCTCACGGTTTAGAGGAAGTTGGCAAGTTCTTCTCATTGACTAGAGATAGTTTTAATCAACTTAAGACCTATTTGCTAACTCTGAAGAGAAGGCATTTAAATTTCACAGGTGCAAAATATAATTAACGCTAGGAATCAGAACTACAGGTAAATCTCTTGTGGTATGTGTGGTCCACCCTAAAGCTATTGAAGGAGAAGTTATGAAGATAAGTTACAGAAATTGTGCCACCACGATGCCATGTAATTTTCGTTGCCAACAGGTTCCTAAAAATTTAGAAATCTGGGACCGGCTCTGTGGCTTAATGGTTAAAGGGAGCTGGATCCCTCATGGCTAACGACGTTCAAATCCTGGCCCCAGTGGCTTGAAAAACATATCAGGTCCATCTTTATGGATGCCCCAAATCCTCACAGAATGGACAAAAGGGGACTGTGGTGTGACCACACCCCATTGCAGGGATGTCTTCTCCCTCTCCCTCTCCCTCTTGTGAGCACATGCACCCTTTGGCAATTAAAAGAAAAATGTAGACATTCTAAATATAAAGAATTATAAGATATTATCAATTAACAAATACTAATATAGGCAGAATTGTGTACATTTAGCTATTATTAAATTATATGAATTGTTATGGTTCATGACTCCTAGAATAAAGAAAATAAAAACCAAAGTTTAATATAAAAGAATTAAAAAACCAACCAAACAAAAACAAAAAAAGATAACAAACATTTTATCAATAAGTATAAAATACATCATATAAAAATAAAAAGTTATGGATACTGGCAGGTGGTGTGATTAAGGCTCTGGACTCCCACAGGGCTGACCGCAGTTCAGGTCTTGGACCTGGCGGCTTGACTTCTCACTCACCTCACCTCCTCTGTCTCTCCCTGGATAAACTGAAAAATAATGATAATAAATAAAATATTCTTTACAAAATAGGGTAAAATAGTTATGTGCCAGCCTGGTATAAATCTGTCAAATATGAAAAATTAGAGAGAGTTAGAAAATAGGTTCTCATACATTTTATTATAATGCAAAGCATTCTTAGTCACTTTTCTACCATATTAAAGGAAATCATTATTAGTTAAATTGTCAAGCGTTATTATAGCTGCACAGACATTTTTTCACACGGTCTTTTTTTACCCTGCCATAGGGTGCATGTACTTGCTAGAGAGGCAGAGAGTGAGTACTCATCCCCAAAGGAGATGGCCATGCCACAATCCCTTCTCCATTCTCCAAGAAAACAGAAATTTCTCACGTCCCAAAACAGAATTAACAACTAAACTCCTCTATCAATAACATTTCTTTTTAGAACTGGGAAGATTAAACTTCAAATGCATAGACCACTACTCCATACCTCCTCAGCTTCTCCCTTTCTTCTCTCTCGCGCTCCTCTCTTCGTTTCAGACGCTCCTGGTTTCTCTTCTCCTGCTTCTCAGCCACAACTCTCTTAAAAATGATAATAAATAAGAAGCATAATTACTGGTTCCATTCTTAATTAGCTTTACCCTGAACTGTATGTTCCCAACATAATAAAATTAACACTAAAACCTGTTTTAAAACAACTCAATTTAAAGATGTGGCAGGTATATAATATTGGGTTTATAAATATGCTTCAATATCTTTCCCCAAAACTGGTAAAATAGCATGTGTTTCCATAATTCTTTATTTCCCTGATGAGGATGAGACAGTGTGAGAGACAGAGAGACAAGCACCTGCAAATGTGACCCACATCAACTAGCCTCTCAGGCCTTCTCAGCCAGCCAGGATTATGGGCATGGGCGCAGAATATACAGGTTGACCAGGGAACCAAAGCTCTGACTGTGCACATGATTCCAGTAACGCTTGAGCAGCACATTACCACTGCATCATCACGCCAATCCATCATTTCTTAATGATGTTTCCAATTCACTTTTATAAGAGTTTCTTCTGTAAATATTTTCCAAAATTAATTTGTACTTTTTTTAAAAGAATTATTTTTATTTAACTTTACTGGTCTGTTTATTTTTAATTTGATAGAGAGGGACAGAGCAAGAGAGAGAGAAAGAGAGAAAGCAAGTCACCAGGTCTGAGACTCGAACCATCATTAGCCATGTGGGAGTCCAGTGCCCTTAACCATCATAACACCTGCTGGCCCCTAATTTGTACTTTTTTTTTGGAATGGTTTTTGCTATAGGGCGTGTGCGCTCGCCAGAGAGACAGAAAGCAAGAAATCACCCCCCAGAGGGGATGGCCACACCGCAATCCCTTCTCCTCCATTCTCCTCCTGGGATTCTGGGCATGCACGCAAGCACACGCGCCCAGCCTGAGTTTTAAGCCACTAGGTCCAGGACTTGAATCACAGTCTACCACATGGGAGTTCAACAACATAACCATTACACTAACCACTGGTCCCCCCCAATTTGTACTTTCTAAAGAACACCAAACATTGGGGGCAGGAGGGAGGGACTCAAGGGGAAGGAAAAAAAAGCAAAACATTTCAACAGACACAAAAATTGAAAATTACTCGGCCAGCAGGGTAACATGGTGGTTAAAGTGCTGGACACTCCCACACGGGCAACCATGGGTCGAGTCCTGGACCTGGTGGTTTACCTCCTCACTCTCCTCCCCCACCGTGTCTTTCTCTGGTCAAATTGAAATAAATGAATAAATAAAACTTACATAAATAATTTTTTTAATAAATGGAAAATTACCCAGTTAGGATAATGTGAATGATAATCTATCTGACTAGAATAATATGCAGTGTATAGTGTAGTCATGCTGGGAAAATCATACTGTATGCTATAAAAGATGTAAATCATTAAATGTAAAAAATAATAAATTAAATGAATAAATTTTTTGCTCACTAGACACTAAACTAAAAGCATCTTAAATCACTACAAGTTCCCAAGTCCTATGATTGCTAATACAGATATATCTTCTGTTGCTTCCAATTATCATCCTGATTCTGCTGCTTTTAAAGAGAGGAGTACAATGGCAGAGAGTTCTGTTGTTGAGTCTACATGTGCGAAGATTCCCAAAAAGGAACCATTTCTGAGGTTTAACTTAGAGACCACAACCATTTGCTATAGGGAAATTTACTTTGAAGATTTTTATACACTTACTTAAGATCATCCTATAAGGTCATTAGTAAAGTCATGATGAATTTTTGCATGGAAAAATCTATCTGATGACTCAACAGTTACTATGAATACTGAGAAGGGATCACTGTTAACTATAAGGAAAACATCCTTGGGTGTTTTCTGACTGCACATAATTTTAAATGTCAAGTTACAGATCTTGGGTTAATTTGAGTGACAATAACTACATAAAAAGCGACTATCCAGGCCCAGCCACAGGGATGCTGGGCAGCAGGGGTGCTGCTGTGCAATGCTGGAGACCATCTAGAAAGACTCTGCGTCGTTAGCAACCTGGCAGGCACACCTCTGATCCTTGCTAGCTGCAGCCCTGGGGGTGAGGTTATGGTGTGAAGGCCCAGTTGAGGGTGTTACCCTCTGCTCCCGAAAGAAAGAAACTTAAAAAAAAAAAAAAAAAAAAAAAAAGGAAGAAAAAGAATGTATCCACTGTTTCCATCTCAATTCATGACAAAACACAATTCTTAAAAACCAGCCTCATCAGACTACTGAAAGGTAAACTGACTATATCCAAACTGCCTTATCTTTGCCAATTCAGAAACACATCCCACATTTTTTGTGTCTTTATTTCAGCAAAAGAAATAACTTAAGAACCATATTACTCCGGGCGGGTGTGCATGCATGCCCAAGATCCCGAGAGGAGAATGGAGGAGAAGGGATTGCAGTGTGATCATCCCCCCTAGGGGGGGGTGATTTCTTGCTGTCTCTCTGTCTGTCTGGTGAGCGCACACGCCCTATAGCGAAAATCTCTCCAAAAAAAAAAAAGAACCATATTGCTTTTCTTACAATATCCTATATATTAAGTAATAGTGATTTTCATTTTTTTGCAGGTTTCATCCTACATCCTTTCTGAAAAGGGGACAGAAGCATAAAATATGATTAGAACTAGAGGTGCTACAAACTTGCAAATTTTTTTTTTTGCAATGAAGAATTACTATTATATTGAGTTGCTGAAAAAGTCATGACTCATTTTTGTGTAGAAAAATATGTCTTGACTTTTCTAATGACCCAAAATTAATGTTATATCAGCTTTATTGGGAAAAAAAAAGGACAACAATGGAAATTTTAGGGGACTTTGTATAAAGTAATTAATTAGCTTTGAAACCAGTTTAAAGGAGCTCTAATACAGCATTATGCCCAACACAAAATGCTACCTCCCAGCATATTGGGATGGTACTTAAATTTTAAAATCTGCTTCTAAGATATTTTTCAGTAAGCCAGACTGACGCTCCCCTTACATTCCTGCACTACTTAGTATGTGTTGTTAACAGATACCAAATATAACTGAATCACAGCCAAGAATACTGCATACAAAGACAATACAGATCAGAAAAATAGTGGCTATGTAAGATATAGTGAGGGATATTAATTTACCAATGTACCTTTAATTCTTCAAGTTTCTCTCTTATTTCAATAAATCCCAGGTGCAGTTTACCCCCAAAATGATCAGCTAGCCTTCTGTCATTATCATGAAGACCTAAATAGGCAGAGCAGACTTCACAGACTCGAAGTTTCTGCTGTTGGAAACTGGAAGCTGGCATAGAATTCCGATACACTTCCTAAAAAATGAGAAAAACAACAACCACATAAACCTCACTGAAAGTCACACAATAAAGGGAGGGAGAGGGGCTCAGCAATAACGCAACGATCTGCGAGGCAAACCCACACAGAAGATCGCAGGTTCACACAGAGATGCCTCCCTGACGTGTACACCCGACCAGGATCTGGGGTGTGAGGACTCTGTTGGGGATCCCTGTCTTTGTGTCTTTATCTTTCCAGTCTCTCTCGCTCAAGGAAAAAAACAGGTAAACAAACTTAAAAATGTCAATCAAGTATATTATGATTATTACCAAGATTACACCAATGAATATATAAATAGATTACTTATGAAACTGTGTGATCATACTCTGTCCCTTCTCTGGTCAAATTAAAATGAATGAATAAAAATAAATTAAGTTAAATAATTCTTACCAGAAAAAAGAAAACAAGGCAAACAACGATAACATCCAGTGTTGGTGGCTCAAGCAGTAGGGTGCGCCAGGTTCAATTCCTGGATCAACCCAACAGGGCTGAGTGCAATGTGTGTACTTGTAATCCCAGCTATAGGACGGGGCAGGAGGATTGCAGCATGGGAAGAACCTGTGAAAAATACCTGTCTCTCTTGTGTTTAAAAAACAAAATGTGGGGGAAAAGGAATTGAAGACAACTGTAGACAGCAGAGATAGTGTGATAAGAGGGTAGGAAAGGGTAGAGGGTCAGACATGGAGTAAAAATATAATATATATATGAAACTAGAAATGGAAAATTATTGATGATAACATGCATGATTAAGCCACTATGCAGTTTATTCTAGACGGGGAACGACATTGGGTATGTTGTGACGATGCTTAGGAGATGAATGTAAATTAATTAATTAAAAAAAAAAAGCTTCAGGAGAAAAAAATAACACGAAAACTGTTTTTATCGAAATTAAAAGAAAATGCATATTTGATGACTGTGGTAAGCTATATAGCCCCAGCTAGGTGCTACTTTATAGTATGTTCATTCTACTCACTGAGGTTTATGCCTAAAGTCAGACTTGTGTTCATGGATATGTATATATCAGCTGTGCTTGCTATTGGAAATATTTAGACTAATTAAGTTCATTAGCAAATCAATTCAATGGGGTTAAAGGCATAGAAACCAACCATGGATACCAGAGACAATGTGACAGGTGGGTGGGACATGGCAGAGGGTGAGGGATAGGGAATTGAGGATGGCAAAAAAAAAAGGGCAAAATATACAGGAAACAAAAAATGGAAAATTATTTGTTGATGTATATTGATGTTAAATAAATTTAAATAATTCTTTTTAAAATAAAGAAATAAAAGTCCTCATAAAGAAAACACCAGATCTAAATCGCTTCGCTGGCAATTTCTATCAACAGTCACTAAAGAAACAGTATCCTACAAAATACATTCAGAAAAGATAGAATCTTTCTAATTCTTTTTATGAACTGGCATTTCTTTATACCAAGCCAAAGACAGAGTTATTGGATAAATCATTAAGACTATTGGGGGGCAGGAGGACAGGAATCTAGGGGAAGAAAAAAAGCAAAACGTTTAATGGACACAGAAATGGAAAATTACCTGTTGATAATCCGCATGGCAATATCTTTGACTGGACTAATATACAGTATACTCATGCCCCAGAAAGTCCGTTATGTATGCTATAGAGACGTATAGTAATTAAATGTAAAAAAAAAAAAAAAAAAAAAAAAAGAATAAAAAAGGACTATCTGGGGAATAAGTTATCCTGAACAGTAAATTTCTTTAAATTCTCTCCTTTCTATGAAAACCATCTAACATATAGTAGGTCTTTCTCTTCCTCTAAAGGAATCCTCATTGAACCAAATAATTTCTTGATGCTTCAGGGACATCATTATATTAATAAACTGCTGTTATCCTGAAACTGTGAAGAACAAAGACCACAGTTTTTCCTTTCCTTTCCAGCAGACAGTTACTGTTAAGGCAGGGCGAAGGTCAGATGGTCGAGAGGTACTAAAATAGGTTCCTTCATTCTGTTATTTCCCCTCTAGTCTACAAAGTGGCAGCTGCTACCAGACATAAGACAAGGAGGAAAAAAGTAGGCACCCCAAGGCAGTTGGGAGTGATAAGGCCTGCCTTCCTTTTCTTGACCTTGCCACAACAGACCCTCCCCTCTTTATAGCCAAAAGACACTGGTGAGAGGTTTAAAAAGGAAAAACAAGAACAGAGTAGGGTTCTCAAGGGTGAGAGGGAACTGCAGAGCACAAATCAAAGCTCAGGTACCTCCAGGGGCCATGCAGATTACTACAGAGCAGGCCAGGTATGGTCACTTAGCAACTAAAGACACTGGCGGAAGCATAACGCCATCAATATTTGTTTTGCTTTCTCTCTGTGTTTTGTTGCCAGAAGGTACATGCACTTGCCACAGAGAGAAAGAGAGCAACCCCAAGAAAGGTGAGGTCATGTCACAATGCCCTTTTCCTCCGTTTCTTCATCCCCGTCAGGATTCTGGGAACACACAAGCGCTGGTGTTTTTTAAGTAACCAGGGCTGGTACTCAAACCACAGATGGCCATGTAGAATCTGGATCCCTTCTGCACAGCACTTAAATACTGTGCTATAGGGCCAGCTCGGTATTTGGTTTTCTAAAAACCATCCGGTGTACCAATAAAAACAGAACTTTGTCTATAGGATATAAGACCTTGATCTGTGTCGTGCAAGAATGAGAGAAGGCTCCATGGTGCTAATAGTCGTATTGCGGCAGGAAGGGAAGAAAGAACGCTGTGGTCGGATGGGGACAACGTGCAGGGTAGGGCATCAAGGTGAGCAAGCCCATGCAGAGTGGGTATGGGTGTCTGCTGCATGTGTAGAAGGCTGACAGTTTAATGCCATTTACCAGTTATACATTTTAACATATCAACAAGTCCAGACTCCAAAAAATCCCACTAATTTTGAAACAAGACCCATCAGTATGAAAGGATCACTTAAATATTCAAACTGGTTTAAATTCTCTAATTTTTCATTAATTCCCCACCAAGTATATGTTCTTCAAGAACAGAGACTATGGCTTTATCTGCTAATAAAAATAAGGGGGGAAAAAAAAAGACTATCTAGAATTTACCTCTGCTTCTCTCTTCTTTGCCCGTGCTTTTTCCACTTCATCCATTACTTTTTGGGATTCTTCCACATTCCCTTCAGCTCCCAGCTGTTCCACCTTGGCCAACAATTTACCAATTTCTTCATTTAACTCGTGAACACGTTCCGCCTAGAAAGAAACAGATCATGAATAAACAACAGAAAGAATATTAAACATCAATGTTTCAGAAGTGCTCAGAGAAGAGTTGGTATCTAACGCACCATGAGCTTTAGCAATGCTTTCTGAGTGTATCCCAAAAGAACTCTGAGACACTGTAAGGTTTTGAGCCTGCCTGACTTCACATCAATGAAGTGAGGGATACTGGTGATCCAACATAACTTATTTCCAACTTCTGCTTGGAAACCAACACGCTCCAAATGTAAAACACTTTTTCTACAATGATCTGGCCTTCTTTCCCTTTCAAACCACCTCTTGCTATTCTCCCACCTCACATCATAATGTCCAGTTATATCTATCATAGTTTCCCACACTGACCATTTTCTGCCTCTGTATCTTTGCACTAATGGTTATCTCTTCCAGGGATGCCAGACCTTACCTCCATTGCCTGCCCACTCAATTCTCTTTTTTTTTTTTTTAATTGGGAGAGGTTTTTGCTATAGGGTGCGTGTGCTCACCAAAAAGACAGAGACAGACAGAAAGCGAGAAATCACCCCCCAGGGGGGATGGCCACGCCGCAATCCCTTCTCCTCCATTCTCCTCTCAGGATCTTTGGCATGCATGCACACATGCCCGGCATGAGTTTAAGTCACCGGGTCCAGGATTTGAACCATGGTTGGCTACATGGTCAATTATCTTTTCATACACCACGATGCAACTCCAGAGTCTTCTGTGAAGCATTCTTGAACACTCAGCATGTCCCATCCACACTTAAACACACGTGCAGAGACGGCCATGCCCTTTGTGCCCATCTTTGTATCTCTGAGAATTCGTTTCATACATATCATACTCCTTTAAGGATAGCTGCCTGTACTTCCCATCTTTGTATCACCAATGTGCAACAAATAACATAGACTCAAATATGAGTAAAAGAAATAAAATGGCGGATAAGCTGTAAAGCATCTAGTAGATATAGCTTAAAAGTCCAACAGATTTGGCATATTGCTAAACCGACTACTAGCTATATAATTCCAGCCAAGTCACTTAAACCTGCATCCACTTCCTCATCTGAGAACTAGTAGTAACACCTATACCACAGAGCTGTGAGAAATGAAAGACTGTACTGTGCACATACATCCCACAGGAAAGCTGATTTTTAGTATTCTAGCTTGGCACTCCCACTCCTTGGTCCTTTATCTGTCCACTGGATATTAATTCTTTTATTTTTAAGAATTATTTTTATTTAACTTTATTTATTATTATTATCATTATTGTTTTTCCAGGTTGACCCAAGAGAGACAGGAAGAAAGAGAGAGGCAGTGAGCAAGCAAGCTACTAGGTCCGAGACTTGAACCATGGTTGGCCATGTGGGAGTCCAGCACCTTTAACCACCATGCCACTTGCCGGCCCCTGGATATTAATTCTTAACTTGGGGTTTGATGAGCCCTTGTTTTACTTCATTATCAACATCATCCTGGGAATCCTACTGTTTTTTGTTTGTTTGCTTGCTTGTTTTTCTTAGACAGGTTTTTGCTATTGGGTGCATGTGTTTGCTGGAAAGACAGAGGGACAGAAAGCAAATCACGCCCCATGGGGGGATGGCCAGGCCGTAATCCCTCCTCCTCCATTCTCCTCTCGGGATTTTGGGCACACATGCACACATGCTCAGCCTGAGTTTTAAGCTGCCAAGTCCAGGACTCAACCATAGTAGACTGCGTGGGAGTCCAGCAATGTAACCAGTATGCAACTGACTGGTCCCATTCCTACTGCTTTAATGGCATAGTCTGTTTTTGCCCCTGCCCCCGAAAAGTATTCTGTCTGCTGTGTGACCATGTATATTAGCAAGGAATATCCAGCCCCAACAAACCAGTGGGCCAATAATCTTTACTTCTCCAAATTTCCTTCAACCCAAGATACTTCTTTCAACTACTTCCTCCAAAGACTGCCAACTCTTAGCATGACTATTCTCCCTTTTTATGAAAGTGGTATTCTTTTAATTATGTCATTGGATGACCGCATAAACACCCAACACTCTTCACCCTTCCCTGTATCCATGACCTCTGCAAAGTAATTGAGTACCATTGAACTCTGACTTGGAGTGTGGTCATAAACTTGCTTTGGTGTGAGATGAAGGCTTGAAAGCCTTCCATGACAGAGTCTGATGCTGTGCACCTCTGCCACCACCATAAGAACATCGCCAGGTTGCAAAGAGTGGGTGGCATGGTGGCTAAGGCACTGGACACTCCCACAAGGCTGACCACATTTTAAATCCTGAACCTGGTGGCTTGCTTTCTCACTTTCCCCCTCTCTCTCTCTCTCTCGCTCTCTCTGTGTCTCTGGTCAAATTAGGATAAACGAAATGAATAAATAAAATTAAATTTAAAAAAAAAAAAAGAAGAACATGGCCAGGCTAGCCTTCTGGACATGGCTCAGTAGCCTCCAGTGGACTCCAAGACATGTCAGTGAGCCCAGCTGAGACGGGAATAACTGCCCAGTCACGTTCAGTCTATATCATGGACAGCAGACTCATTGGCTAAATACTGTCAAAGTCACTAAATTTCAAGGTGGCTTATTATATGGCATGTTTGGAGTAATAACCAATACAATGCTGTACACCAATACAACATGGACTCTACCAAACAATTATGGATCTCCTTCAACCATGAAATACTAAATATCTACCTTAATGGCCCCATATTCAGAGAACTTTCAGAAAAGGCTGACTAAAACCAACCCTTTTCTCAAACAAGGGAATTTGTTTTCCTCTGTACAGATATATCTGAACACTGTATTTTAATGCTGTAATCTGAATTCCAACTGAGTCACTCTGTCTCCCATTCTACACTCATAAAATGCACTAGATGATACTGAATTATATTATAAAGTAGTAAAGTCATCGAATCACCCAAATGAGGCAGGCCACTTAGCCTAGTAAAGGAATAAGATCCCACGTAGTCAACCACAATTCAATTCCCAGCCCCGGCAGCTTGAAAAGCATGTCGCGCATGTGTATGCATGCCCCAAATCCTAACAGTATGGAGAAATGGAGAAAGGATTACAGTGTGACCACCTCCCATTGGTGGGTGCTTTCTTTCTCTCCCCCTCCCCCTCTATCTGTCTCTAGCAAGCACACACACCCTCTAGCAATTAAAGAAGAAAAAAATCAAGCAAATGCAATATACACAACCCTTCTTTGAATTCTGATTATAACAAACTGACTCTAGATAGAAGAACAAACATCTTCTGGATATGAAATAACACTGAAGATTTAACTGTTAACTTTATAGATGTGATACTGTGATTATGTTTTACAGGTGAAATGACATAATATAAACAGTATGCTTTATTCATTTATTTATTTTCCCTGTAGGATGCTCACCAGAATGAGGCAAAGGGAAAGTTAAAAACCAAGAAATCAACCTCCAGAAAGGATTACCAAAACCACAATCCCTTCTTCAGGGATTTTGGATACACATGCACACACATATGTCCTGTATATTTTTCAAGCAGCAGGGTCCAAGACTTAAAACCATGCAGTTGGCCATATGGGATCTAGTCATCTTACTCCATGCCATCTGTTGGCCCCAGTATGCTTTTAAAAGCAAATAAAACAATAACGAAATTTTAAAAAACACTGAGGGTTTTAAAACTGGTGATAGCTCCACTGAAATTCATTGTACTTTTCTATCTACCTTTTGTAATTTTGTAATAAACAAGTAAACTCAAAAAAGTAGATAGAGTATGGTTATGCCACAATCCTTTCACCTCCATTTTTCCATTCTTTCAGGATTTGGGGCAAACTTACACATATGCCTAATGTGTTTCTCAAGCTGCCAAGGCTGAGATTTGAACCATGATCAACCACTTGAGATCCAGCTACCTATGCAAAGTACTTAACTACTCTGCTACAGGGCTACCCCACAAGAAAATATTTTTTAAAAAGTAGTTAGTTGAGGGACCAGCAGTTAGCATAATAGCTGTGTCACTGGACTCCCATGTAGTCAACCATGGTTCGAGTCCTGGACCCAGTAGCTTAAACTCACGCAGGGCACATGTGCACGCGTGCTCAAGATCACAAGAGGAGAATGGAGGAGAAGGACTGTGGCGTGGCCATTCCCCCGGGGAGTGATTTCTCACTTTCTGTCTCTCTGTCTCTCTCTGTCTTTCTGACGAGAACCCGCGCCCTATACCAAAAAACTCTCCAAAAAAAAAAAGTAGTTAGTTGAGGAGCCATCAGGAGGCATGGTGGTTAGGGACACTGGACTCCCACATGGCTGACTGAGGTTCAAGTTCCAGTATCTGGCAACTTGCTTTCTCATTCTCCCTTTCTCTTTCTCTGTGTCTCTCGCTGGTCAAATTAAAACAATAATAATAATAAAAAATAAAGTTAAATAAAATAATATTAAACTGAACAAAGTAGTTAATTAAAGGGCTGGCATGTAGTGTAGTGGTTAAAGGCACTGGACTCCCACATGACCAACCACGGTTCGAGTCCTGGACCTGGCATTTTGCATGCTGTCTCTCTCTCTCTCTGGTCAAAACTGAAAAGTAATGATAATAAAAATAATTCTTTAAATAAATAAATTAGTTAGTTGAGGGACCAGCAGGTGGTATAATGGTTATGCTGCTGGACTTCCACATGGTCAACTGCAGTTCAAATCCCGGACCTGATGGCTTAAAATTCACACTGGGCACGTGTGTGTGCCCAAAACTCTAAGAAGAGAATGGAGAAGAAGGGATTGCAGCGTGGCCATCCCCTTGCAGGGTGATTTCTCACTTTCTGTCTGTCTCTGTCTCTCTACCCTATAGCAAAAATCTCTCTTAAAAATAAGAAAAAAAAGTAGTTAGCTGACTACAACATATGAGGAACACTCAAAGCTAAGCATTTTTAAAACTCACAGTCCAAGTAGAAAATGGACAAAAGACACGCAGATATTTCACTGAAAAAGACATACAGAGAGCAAACGTGAAAAAATGCTCAACATCGTCAGTCATAGGGAATTCGCATTATGAAATAAGGTATCATCACATTTCTATCAAAAATGAATAAAATGGGGGCCAGCAGTTAGCATGATGGCTATGTTGCTGGACTCCCACATAGTCAACCGCAGTTCAAGTCCCGAACCCGGTGGCTTAAACTCACTCTGGGCGCATGTGCGTGTGTGCCCAGGATCCCGAGAGGAGGATTGCGGCTTTCTATCTCTCTGTCTCTCTCTGTCTGGTGAGTGCATGCACCCTATAGTAAAAAAAAAAAAAAAAAAAAAAAAAAAAAAAAGGGGGCAAATAGACACCCTAACAGTACACCTCAGGGAAATGGAAAAAAAACAAACGGTTCGAGTCCTGGACCTGGTGGCTTAAATTCACGCTGGGCATGTGTGCGTGCGTGTCCAAGATCCCTAGAGGAGAAGGGATTGCGGCGTGGTCATCACCCTGGAGGGTGATTTCTCACTCTCTGTCTTTCTGGTGAGCACACACGCCCTATAGCAAAAATCTCTCAAAAAAAAAAAAAGAAAAAGGATAAAATGGGGGCAAGCAGGTGGCGTGGTGGTTAAGGACACTGAACTCTCACATGGCCAACCATGGTTCAAGTCCTGGACCTGGTGGCTCTCTTTCTCACTTGCTCTGTCCCTCTCTGGTTGGTTGGCTGGTTGGTTGGTTGGCTGGCTGGCTGGCTGACTGGCTGGATAGATAAAGTTAAATTATTTTTTAAAAACTGTACAAAATTAGGGACCAGCAGGAAGCATGGTGGTTAAGGCGCTGGACACTTCCACATGGCCGACTGCGTTTCGAATACCAGACCTGGTGGCTTGCTTTCTCACTTTCCCTCTCTCTCTCTCTCTCTCTCTGTATCTTTCTCTGGTCAAATTAAAATAAATTAATGAATAAATAAAAATAAATAATTATTTTTAAAAAGTGGACAAAATTAAACATACTAACACTGGAACAGATGGGGAGAAACTGGATCACTCACACATTGCTAGTTCAAATGTAAAATGGTACAGTTAATCTAGAAAATAGTTTGCTAGTGCTTTCAAAATGAAAAATGGATTTACCTTATGACCCAGCAATTCCATTTTTAGGCATTTATCCCAAGGAAATTAAACTATATGACCAAACAAAAGTCTGTACACCAGTGTTGGTTGTAGCATTGCTAGTAGTAACCAATAACCAGAAACAACTCAAATGTCCTTCAGCGTGTGATTGGTTATAAACTACGGTATATCCATATCATGAAATACTACTCAGAAATAAAAAGGAATGAACCACCAACACATAAAACTTGGCAGAATCTGAAGAGGTTGTGCATTGGGAAAAATCCAATCTCAAAACAATACACAGTATACTGTTCCATTCATGTAAAATTGACAGAGTGACATAGAAATGAAGAAGAAACCAGTGGTTGCCAGGTGTAGAGATGGGAAAGAAGAGGATGAGTGTGCCTATAAAGGGAGGTAAATGAGGTAATCCTGTGGTAACGCCGCAGTTAAAGAATCAAGTCACACATGATTTAACTGCACAAAGCCATACAAACATACATGAAGTATACACAAATACATATGTAGCTGGTAAACATCTGAGTAAAATATAAGGATTTAGACCAACGTCACTTTCTCTAATGTCATATTACAGTTGGGTAAGATATAACATTTAGGAGGACAGAGAGAAAGAGTACCCAGAATTCCTTGTGTATGTAATCTTATGCAGACGAGAATACAAAGTCAAAATAATAGTTGAAACTACTTTGTTCTATGAGAAATTATTAAAATTCTTACCTTTGCTGCCACTTCAGCACTAATCTCTTCTTGAGTTTCTGCTAATCTCTTCTTGGCTACTTCAGTTCTTCGATCACAGTCTGCAATGAATGACTGCAGATGATCCATGGCCTTAAAAGATTATTAAGAGTTACTGTCAGAAACTAAATTTATTCAGAAATATCTTTATCTTAAAAACACTGATTTAAAAAGTGCTAACATAAATTTAAAACTAATAAAAGCATATTCAATTATAACTCCAAATACTATCTGTCATCAACCAAACTGGCAGAGCAAACACAAATAGTTAAGTCCCAGGAAAGGGTGAATAAACTGCCACTTTTGTACCCTGCTGAAATAAGCACAAAACCAGGCCCAGTGTTTGTAAGAGGTCAGTGTGTTTTTTCTTGACAAAACTTTTTAAATGGTGCCAGGTGCTGCGGCACAGTGGCAGTGTTAAGTACCCTTTAAAGTTGCAAACCCCGCAGTGACCAGGATCCAGACACTAGGTCTGCCAGAAAACATTCCGGCCATGTGCACAGGCTGCCAGGATCCTAAGGTGCTAGAGATCTGGGGAAGGTGGATCGCTGCTGAGGGTGCTTTCTGTCTCATGTGTGTGCACATACTCACATAAAAAAAACAAGGAAAAATTCTTTAAAATGTTCCCTCACTGAATAATTTTACTTTCGGAAATTCATCTTCAGAAAGTAATCAAGTGGCCAGCAGGTGGCATGGAGGTGAAGGCACTAGATACCATATGGCAAACTTCATGGTTCAAGTCTCAGACCTGGAGGCATGAGACTCACTCCAGGCACGTGTGCATGCATGCCCAAAATCCCGAGAGGAGACTGGAGGAGGGACTGCGGTGTGGCCATCCCCCCGGGAAGTAATTTCTCGCTCTCCCACTCTTTTAGTAAAACTTAAAAAAAAAAAAAAAAATCTTGGCAACACACAGTTTGGCCATTGGGGAAACAGATAATCTTATATATTCCTGGTGGGAGTATAACTGTCAATTCTCAGACTGGCATCATGGCTGATGCCAGATACCACATGGCCTTCTACATGGGCTGTCTTGGACCCAGTGGCGTAAGAAATACACCAGGTGAATGTGCACTGTGCCCCAAATCCAGAAAGAAGTGAGAGATGGAGGAGGAAGGGACTGCAATGTGACCACTTCCCCATAGTGGGTGCTTTCTCCTCTCCCTCTTTCTCGGGCTGTCTCTGGAAAGCGCAAATTCCCTCAAGCACATACACAAAAAAATGAGTAATTCTCAAGAGCAATTTGGCAATATCTGTAAAATTACTGATTCAACTATGCTATAAATACTTCATGTGTGAAAATGATATATTGGGTTGTCTGAAAAGTCATGATGAATTTTTACATAGAAAATTGAAGAAAAAAATACATCATGATTTTCCCAACAACCAATATTAACATATGATAACACAAAGACTGAAATAATGTAAATATCCATACCACTACATACAAGTAATGGTGAGTTTCTACTGTAATTTATGTCCAGAGTGCACTAAATCATAATTCAATTAAGATGTTTTCCTCAATTTTTCCAGCTACGTGTTAAATTACATTTATACAGATGATCTTCATTTCCATTATTTCCATTAGCAGAAATTCCTGGACATTGAGAAAAGTAAATGCAGGGGTTTTATCTGATTAATCTCCCAAACTAAATAAGAATATTATGTATTACTGATTAAAAAGTACCACACAGGTGCCAGCAGGTGGTGTGCTAGTTGAGGCGCTAGATCCCATATGACTGATCACCTTGGCAAGGCTTGAGTCCCAGAGCTGGCAGCTTGAAAAACATGCTGGGCTTATGTACACGTGTGCCCAAAATCCTCAAGAGGAGAATGGAGAAGGGACTGCGACATGGTCGTCCCTCCTAAGGAGTGACTTCTTTCTCTCCCTCTTTCTCTCTCTGGCAAGTGCATGCACCTATAGCTTAAAAGAAGTTTTATACGATTTACTCTTATTGGCATCTCATATATAATGCTGACTGATGTGCTTTATATATTTTTAAAATTTTTTATTTTATTTATTATTATTTTTTAAGGGGCCAGCAGGTGGTGTGGTGGTTAAGTGCACCGGACTCCTGTGTGGCCGACCGTGGTTCGAGTCCTAGACCTGGTGGCTTGCTTTCTCACTTTCTCCCTCTCTCTTTTTCTCTCTTGCTCTGTACTTCTCTGGTCAAATTTAAAAATAAATAAATAAACAAACAAAATTAAATAAAAATAATTCTTTAAAAACAATGACTATTACATTTAAAGTTTGCTATAAGGCATGTGCACTCACCACAGAGATAGAGAGTGCGAGAAAGCCACCATAGCCAAGACTTAAACTGTGGTCGGCCATCTGGGAGTCCAGCACCTTAACCACCACACCACCTGCTAGCCCCGGTATGCTTTACATTAATGTGAGAAAAGTTTTTTTGGGTTTTGCTGTAGGGTGTGTGCACTAATTAGAGTCAGTTAAGAGAGCAGGGGAAAGTCAGAAATCACTCCCCAGAGGATGGCCACACCACAGTCCCTTCTCCTTTTGGGATTTTGGGCATGCACGCAGACATGCCTGACGTGTGTGTGTGTGTGTGTGTGTGTGTGTGTGTGTGTGTTTTTGGTGAGGGTTTTGTTATAGGGCGCGTGTGTGTGCCAGAAAGACAGAGAGCGAAAAATCACCCCCCAGGGGGATGGCCACGCCACAATCCCTTCTCCTCCATTTTCCTCTCAGGATCTTGGGCACATATACACACATGCTTGGCATGAGTTTAAGCCACCAGGTCCAGGACTTGAACCACGATCAACTACATGAGAGTCCAGCGACATAGCCATTACACTAACTGTTGGTCCCCCACATCTGTTTTCAAGCTGCCAGGTCTGGGACTCAAACTATAGTCAGTCATGTGGGAATCCAGTGCCTTAGACTCCATATCACCTGCTCACCCAATGGTTCCAAATTTTTATATAGGTTGAGTATCCCCTATCCAAAATGCTTGAGACCAGAAGTGTTTCAGATCTTGATTTATTTTTAATTCTGAAATATTTGGATATACATAATGAGATACCTTAGGGGTAGGAGCCCAAGTCTCAATATGAAATTCACTTGTATTTCGTATGCATCTTATACATAGGCTAAAGGTAATTTATACACCATTTTGTGTTGTATAGTGTTTTGACTGCAACCTATCACATGAGGTCAAATGTGAAACTTTTCACTCCTGGCATAACATCAGCACTCAAAAAGCTGTACATTTTAGAGCATTTTGAATTTTGAGATTAGGGATGGTCAATATGTAAAAGCAGTTCTAAAACAGAAGCACCAATATAAAGTCATAATTTGGGTATCTCAGATATCTAAATGGTGGCATCTAGTTCGATTAGTTTTACATTAAAAATATTATCCTGATTACCCCCATGTGTGTATATACATACAGACACACAGAGGAACAAAAATGAATACGAAGGTAAAAACAACTTCAGTAATTTCTAAAAAAAAAAAACCACCTTATATATACTAGAAACCACTGCTGAACTTTGCAAGTTTCTTAAAATAACAAATCCCACATTATTTTAAGAACTTAGTTTTCTAAAGAAAATACCTTATATACACTAGAAACCACTGCTGAAATTTGCAAGTTTCTTAAAATAGCCAATCCCATCTTATTATTTTAAGAAAAATTCAGTGGATTTCTAAAGAAAATACCTTATGTACACTAGAATCCACCGCTGAACTTTCCTAGTTTCTTAAAATAACTAATGCGCTTATATTTTAAGAAGTGTTATCAAGCAAGCACATGATCTTACATAAATACTACCCATCACACAATAGAATAACTTTCTAAGAGCTTTCCTATTAAGAGATTAAACTATATTCAGAATGTTTTTCTGCACAGGATAATAAAACATCTATTGAAAGGAAAATCACATACATCAAGTTCAAAGAAAAAATCTTGTTCTTTGGATGCAATTTCATAATCTGCTCTTAAAGCCAGGTCATGAACTTTCAGACACTCTCCAAGATCCATTCTCTGGGGAGAAAGAGAAAGATATAACATTAAAACGGAAAACATATTTTCCAAAATTCATTAACAACCATGTTCTCTTCAGAATACATACTAAGTCACATAGATGTTTCTCTATTGCCTTTCAAATTACACCATTTCACAGACAAGTATAAAGCTGTGTGTCACAGAAAATGGCATCAATTCTGCTTACAAATAAAAACAGTGATCTTTTATATTTAAGAATAAGAAAACGCCTTTCAGAATTAAAAAAGCTTCTAGCTTTTATAACACAACATATCTCACTTAGCCCCAGAACACAGAAAAGATCAAAGTTAATTTAAAACCAAACTAAAATAATATGTAAATCAAATTACTGGATTGAGGTACTGTTCTTTGAAGAACATTTATGATGATGATGATGAATTTTTTAATTTGACCAGAAAGAGAAAGTGAGAAAGCAAGCTGCTAGGTCCAGGACTCGAAATGTGGTCTACCATATGTGAGTCCAATGCCTTAACCACCATGCCACCTGACAGCCCCCCATTCTATTTTTCAAATAAAGATGAAGACCTCAAGGAACCAGCAGGTGGCATCATGATTAAGGTGCTGGACTCCCACATGGCTGACTGTGGTTCGTTCGAGTTCTAGACTGGTAGCTTGAAACTCACGCTGGACACTTGTGCATACGTGTCCAAGATCCTGAGAGAATGAAGAAGGGATTATAGTGTGACTACCTCCCCTGGGAGGGTGATTTCTCGCTTTCTGTCTCTCTGTCTCTGTGGCGATCATACACACCCCCAATATTAAAAATCTCTTAAAAAAAAAAAAAAAAGACCTCAAAAAACAGACTTATAACCTTAATGCAGATACTCTTTGTACTCCATGTAAACTGATAAAAAGTATACATACCCAATATGAGTTCATAAAGAGCAAGTCTCTAACTCTACCTATGGTAAGCATAAGGCAGGAGGAAGAGAACAAATACTCTTACGGAAGATCCTTTTATCTAGAATTTCCAATTAGACATTCTTTACCAAACCAGAGGCATTGCTTATATCTGAGACAAAAACCCCTAAAAATCTACCCACATTTACACGTTCCTGGACAACTGCTAAGATCATTTATGAAATCCTTTTGGAGGAAAAACTGGGGATAAAATGGGCAATATGTGAAGATAATTACAGATATGACTAATGAGTGACCAAAGCAAAGCATAGATTTTTCAACTGGAGATATAAAACCCCACCCCCAGAATGTCTCCAAACTTCTGGAGGGCTGTTGAAAAAAAAGAGTACAATAGCTCAAAAAAGTACACTAGAGCAAACACTCTTTTTGCTTTATTTACATGAGAACATCGAGCAAGTAGGGACCAGTAGATGGCATGATTACGTGGCAGGACTCCACCTACCTAACCACAGTTCAAGTACCAGACCTGAGGGCTTAAAACTCACGCCAGGCGCATGTGCATGCAGGCCCAAAAATCTCAAGAGGAGAATGGAGAAGAGATTATGGAGTGGCCGTCCCCCCCCCCAGGGGGTGATTTCTCACTTTCCGTCTCTCTGGTGAGCACATGCACCCTATAGGAAAAAAAATCTCACTCTTAAAAAAAAAAAAGGTCATCAAATAAGTACAACAAACACCTCTAGGAGCAGAGTCATTCCATCAGTAAACAGCTCAATCACCTGCTATGCCAAGCCCTATGTTAGGACCTAGAGACATAGTGGTAGCGACGGCCCCTGACTTCATGAAACGTACATTTTTTTTTAACTGCCAAAATGTGTGTGCACACAACAGGAAGGAGGAAGAATCCCAGCAACGGTACATAGTCCTGAGGCAATCCCTTCTTCATTTCTCTATCCTGACAGGAACTAGGCACACATGCACACATGCCCAGTGTGTGTATCACTCACTGGCAGGCCCACCCTCCTGATTATTAAATTAACATAGGGCCAACCATGTCCTCTGAGAGAAGGACAGAGAAATAAGGGATGACCATGCCACAATCTCTTCTCCTCCATTTTCCTTTTAAAATTGTGGGCATGTATGCACATGCAACTAGTGCATTTTTCAAGCTGCTGGGTCCAGGTCTTGAGCCACACTCTCAGCCATGCGGAATCCAGATGCATTAAGCTTTACACCATCTGCTGACCTGGGGGTCCTAGGTTTATTAACAAGCAAGTGTGGTCAAGATGCATTCCAGGACAAAACTGGCCTGTTCTATGGGAGAGGAGGCTCTTCTAGCCCCTCCTGATATGAACTTCTTTGCTTGGACTCTTCCTTAAGCGTTCTGAACTATTCTTTTTTCCCATGGGATCTCCTCTTTGAAGGGGCAGACTACTTGGACACCAGTATGCTGGGCCATGAGTCCTTAACTTGGTCCAGTCTGGCTCACCATAGATTTTGGAATCAAAGAGCTAGTAGCAAAGGCCAAGCGATAATAAAGCAAGACATTTTTCTCTGAATACCGACAGTGTTTCTCTCTTCAGGGGCCTGGGATAGCAGGTGTAGCAAGGCAAACTGTCAAAATTCTAGACACTATCATCTTATTCTTCTCTGTCTGTAATATCATCGTGACTAAGCAGCTACTCTGGTATTGTGACACACACACAAGGAATATTTAAAATTAGAACCAAGTTAACAAACAAAACTACCTACCTGCCACTGTGAGAGGGAGTGCAAGGGAAAGCATGCCTTGGCTAACATTCTCCATGAAGCTAGTCATCTAATTAAAAAGGCTTCACAGGGCTAGCTCTGTGGCCTGGTGGTTAAGGCAGCCAGATTCTGTATGGCCTATTATGTGGTTTGATTCCTAGACCTCGTGGCTTCTAAAATACACCAGATACATGTGTGTGTACATATCCTAAAGCCCAACAGGATGGAGAAACAGAGGAAAGGTTGGGGCATGACCACTCCCTGTTGGGGGGGTGCTCTCTCCCTCTCCTCCTGCTATGTCTGGAACACTCACATGGCCTCTCATCCCCCCACAAAAGGAACCATGGAAAGAACCACACTATAAACTAATCTTCAAAGCCCATATATGCTTCTGCCAAATCAATCCCAACTTCATTAATTTTAATGGTGCAATAATGCTCTGCACACTTAAGTACTATTATTTGCTGTTGCTGCTTTTATTTTTAAAAGATTATTGCAATAGGGTACATGTGCTTGAAGAGAGAGACACTGAGAAATCACCTCCCAAAAGGGATGGCCATGACACAGTCCCTTTTCTTCGATTCTCTTCCTGAGATTTTGAACACACATGCACACACGCCTGGCAAGATTTTCAAGTCACCAGGTCTGAGAGTTGAACCACACTCAGCCATGGGAGAATCCAGCACCTTCACGATACCACCTGCTGGCCCCTGCTACTTCTTTTTAAATAAGAGGGCCTAAAACCGAACAAAATTAAATGGTAATAAATTATAATTTAAAATAACTTTGTGATGAAAGTTACAATAAGAGTTTCAATTTTTTTTTTCAACAAGCCATTTATGGGCCAACTTTGTGGTCCAGCAGTAATGCTCAAAAGAAGTTGGATCCCAGGAAACAGCGTTGTCCCTCTGTGCACGCGTCACCTTTTAGCGTTGCATTCTGGGTAGACTATGGCTTCCAAAATCTGGAGAGCGCACGCGTGCATTAGCGCTTTCCTTTTGCTTCATTGCCCCGCTGAAAGCAGGATGGGTCATCAACAGCTCTACTGGAGCCACCCACGAAAATTTGGCCAGATCTCTCGCTCTTGCTGCGTGTGCTCGAACTGGCACGGTCTGATCCGGAAGTACGGCCTCAACATGTGCCGTCAGTGTTTCCGTCAGTACGCGAAGGACATAGGCTTCATCAAGTTGGACTAAATGATCTTCCTTGAATGGATTGTCCAAGATATAAACCCAGTGAAAGAAATCATGTTGGATATTTGTATATAAAATAAAATAAAACCCTTCAATTTAAAAAAAAAAAAAAAAGGAGAAGTTGGATCCCACATGGTTTGAATCCTCAGCCTATTCAGCCAGGCACATGAGTGCCAAAATCTGATGGGCTGGAAGACTTGAGGAAGGAGACTGCAGTGTGGGCCAAACCCTATGGCAGGTGCTTCTCTCACTCAGGTGCACATGCTCTGCAGTCAATTTTTTTAAAAAAGGTCATTTACTTCATATCTAAGTTCGTTTTTTTTTTTTTTTTTTTTTTTTTTTTTTTTTTTTATCCCTTTTCCTCCATTCTCCTCTCGGGATCTTGGGTACGCACACACATTCGCCTGGCCTGAGTTTAAGACATGGTGTCCAGGACTCAAACCACAGTCAGCTGTAAGGGAGTCGAGCGACAAAGCCATTATGCCAACTGCTGGTCCCAACCTAACTAAATTGTTACCACAAGTTTGCTCTTGGTATTTTAATGAACAGACATCTAAATTCTTGAGATTAAGTGGGAAAAAATAACCATTTTTAAGTGAATAAATTCAGTTCTGCATTTTGTCTTCTCTTTTGTAAATCCATCCCTCCATGCAGTCTTGGCCAAATAACCATACCTGATCCTAGTAAGTTCTCTTATAACCTCACAGCATTTTATACCACTAAATTTTACTGTTTAACAAACTTGATTTTAAGTATTTTTTTCTTTAACTTTATTTACTTGTTTATTTTAATTTGACCAGAGAGAGAGAGAGTGAGAGAGTGGGAGGGGGAAAAAGTGAGAAAGCAAGCCACCAGATCCAGGTCTCAAAGTGCGGTCAGCCATGCCAGAGTCCAGCACCTTTAACCACCATGCCTCCTGCCAGCCTCGATTTTAAGTATATTTAAACTATTCTTTTGAAATCCCAAATGTGACTGTTATAGCATCAAAGAGACTCTGAAATTCATTAGGAAAACGCTCTATTTCTCTTACTTACCCCTCCTACACAGAGGTGAGGTTTTGCACAACCATGACTGTTAAATAATTATGTGACAAAATGACTATGGAATTCTATTTCTAAGAAATTAAAGAAACAAAACAATTACACAAAGATGAATGGTTAATAAAGTGTAACCACATTG